GGGGGGACAAACGGACAGACAAACAGACAGACAAACGGACAGACAAACGGGGGGACAAACGGACAGACAAACGGACAGACAAAGGGGCAGACAAACGGGCAGACAAACAGACAGACAAACGGACAGACAAACGGGGGGACAAACGGACAGACAAACAGACAGACAAACGGACAGACAAAGGGGCAGACAAACGGGCAGACAAACAGACAGACAAACGGACAGACAAACGGACAGACAAGGGGGCAGACAAACGGGCAGACAAACAGACAGACAAACAGACAGACAAACGGACGGACAAACGGACAGACAAACGGACAGACAAACAGACAGACAAACGGACAGACAAACGGACAGACAAACGGACAGACAAACGGACAGACAAACAGACAGACAAACGGACAGACAAACGGACAGACAAACGGACAGACAAACGGACAGACAAACAGACAGACAAACGGACAGACAAACGGACAGACAAACGGACAGACAAACGGACAGACAAGGGGGCAGACAAACGGGCAGACAAACAGACAGACAAACAGACAGACAAACGGACAGACAAACGGACGGACAAACGGACAGACAAACGGACAGACAAGGGGGCAGACAAACGGGCAGACAAACAGACAGACAAACAGACAGACAAACGGACAGACAAACGGACGGACAAACGGACAGACAAACGGACAGACAAACAGACAGACAAACGGACAGACAAACGGACAGACAAACGGACAGACAAACGGACAGACAAGGGGGCAGACAAACGGGCAGACAAACAGACAGACAAACGGACAGACAAGGGGGCAGACAAACGGGCAGACAAACAGACAGACAAACGGGGGGACAAACGGACAGACAAACAGACAGACAAACGGACAGACAAACGGACACTTGCCTTCTATATTGTTTTATATAGATTGAAAAAGATTTCCCCATTTTCAGATACCTCTTCCCGGCGAATTTCCTCTGTCAGAATTGTTCGGGCAATGAAACTTCTCGAGAGAATTTGAAAGATTTCCTCCTCTCATATTACTCGGAAATCAAGCCATACAAGGGGAAAAATCTCTTGGAAAACTTGACAAGAAACTAAATTTTCTTATTATTTCGAAAATTTTATTATAATTTACTTTTGAAAATCATCCCAAACGTGTACAGGTTTACAAAAAAAAAAAAAAAAAATGAAAACAATAGTATTCATGCAAATTTTACGGTGCAAAAGGGAAATTTCGTTTTTTTTTATTGAAATTTACGGGAGTGGGACAAATGCGAGCTTTTTTTTTGCGCACCCGGACATTTGCGCACCTTTTTTTCCGCACCTTGCCCATTAGCGCACCTTTTTTCGCGTTTTAAAAAAGCTCTAAAAAGCTAATATTAACCAATTTCTATTCCAAAAGTTGTTTTTCTAGGTAATTTTAGGGCGTAGAATCGAAATTTTGCCATATCAGAGCTTGTGGAAGCGAAAGGACGGAGTTATACAAAGAGAAAAATCGACAATTTTGATTTGATCGTAATTTGAGTAATTTGATCTAGCCGTTTTGTCTTTCAAATTGGTTCCACACGCTCAGGTCAGGCCCGGAGCCATGCCAGGTCTTAGAACTATCCAATATCCAATTTTTTTGACTGAATTGATCAATGTGCGTTCCAGATCGACCAAAAAATTGATTTAAAGGCTATTGCTATAACTAGATTTCTCTAAATCTCGTTAAACTCTTTCCAAAGGGATATACCGATTTTTCCCTAAGAACCAATAGCTTTCAAACGATTTTTTGGCCAAGCTGGAACGCATATCAGAGCTTGTGGAAACAAACGGACGGAGTTATACAAAGAGAAAGATCGCCAATTTTCTGTAATTTGATCTAGCCGTTTTGTCTTTCAAATTGGTTCCACACGCTCTGATATGCCAAAATTTCGATTCTACGCCCTAAAATTACCTAGAAAAAGAACTTTTGGAATAGAAATTGGTTAATATTAGCTTTTTAGAGCTTTTTAGCTTTTTAGAGCTTTTTTAAAACGCGAAAAAAGGTGCGCTAATGGGCAAGGTGCGGAAAAAAAGGTGCGCAAATGTCCGGGTGCGCAAAAAAAAGCTCGCATTTGTCCCACTCCCGAATTTACTCTTTAACAACCTTTCAAAATGTTTAATTGCTTTTCTTTCTTTTCTTTCTTTTCTTTTCTTTCTTTTCTTTCTTTTCTTTAAATATTTCTTTCTTGCCTAAGCATTTTTTGAAATTTTTGTATTACCAACAAAACTTTCACAACAAAAAGAAATGGTGCTTTTCACCGGTGGCCAACATTTTTGTGTCTATTTTTCATTTTTCAACATTTTCTTGATGACAATTTCTATGAAAATTCTTAGGTTTATCAATAAATCTTAATATAATAATACTTTATTCAAACGATAAAGTGAAAGAAATCATAGAGAAATGCACAGTGATACTTAATCATACAATACATACTGAAATCAATAAGCCAATTACTTACGGCAAAGAGCCACTAGATCTAAAGCATCGATACGTTTCTTGAATATGAAAAGCGACTGAATTTCTCGTATGTCGTTTGGGAGCAAGTTCCATAATCTAGCGGCTCTAACGGGAAATGAATTTGATAAAGAGGCATTGGAAGCAAAGGGAATTTGCAAAAGGAATGAGCCACTTCTGGGCCCTGACCGCGGTTTAAATTTGAAAAAGTCTATAAACAAAGGGCTAATCTGTTTACAACGGAGGATTTTGAAAGTTTCGACTAAATCAATGACAAAGCGACGATGCTGTAAAGTTTTTAGTTCAAAAAAAGCAAGTCTCTCCTCATAAGTAAAGCTAGAATATTTAGAATAGTCAATTTTCCATAAAGCGACTTTTGTGAACCTCCTCTGAATTTTCTCCAAGCGTTCAATAAAGACTTGTGCGCGGGGAGACCAAACAATAGAAGCATATTCTAAGATGGGCCGGATATAAGTCGTCAAGCATTTGCGGTAAGAGTGTAGGTTAGGATGAACAATTGATTTGAGAATACGGCTAGAAACAAAAGAAGCTTTGATATGGATTACCAACAAAACTTTCACAACAAAAAGAAATGGTGCTTTTCACCGGTGGCCAACATTTTTGTGTCTATTTTTCATTTTTCAACATTTTCTTGATGACAATTTCTATGAAAATTCTTAGGTTTATCAATAAATCTTAATATAGATAAAAATATTGAGAAAAATAATGAGAAAAAACATGAGAAAGATGGCTTAAATGCTACAATTTCTAGCGATTTCACAAGAAGCTTCTCAATACAAGAAAATTGACACAAATTCTAGAGGTAAATACACAAGAAAATTGACAATCAACTAGATAATTGAAGTTCGATTTTAGAGAAAACATTGCCATTGCCTTGGCAGCCAAAATTGCCAGCTTTTCTAAAAAATCGAAAAACGATAGTTTCTCTGGTTTGGTTTCCTTTTGAAAGTTGAAAAGCTCGAAGGCGTATTGCCTATAGTTTACGGTAAAATTTCCGTTGTTAGATTTGACTTAGATGTGGCCTAGCTTTGGCTTAGACGTGGCTTAGATTTGACTTAGATGTGGCTTAGATGTGACTTAGATTTGTCATAGATTTGACTTAGATTTGACTCATCGAAAAACTGTCGTAATCTGGTTTGCTTTTGAAAATTGAAACAATCGACTGGCGTATTGCAATTACTTATTGGCCACTCCAATAGAAGCTGCACTGAAATGATACTGAATTGAACTGAAGCTCTATCGCTGCATCGAGCTGAAGCTCCATCGCTGCATTGAGCTGAAGCTCCATCGCTGCATTGAGCTGAAGCTCCATCGCTGAACTGAGCTGAAGCTCCATCGCTGCACTGAGCTGAAGCTCCATCTCTGCACTGAACTGATACTGAACTGAGCTGAAGCTCCATCTCTGCACTGAGCTGAAGCTCCATCTCTGCACTGAGCTGAAGCTCCATCTCTGCACTGAGCTGAAGCTCCATCTCTGCACTGAGCTGAAGCTCCATCTCTGCACTGAGCTGAAGCTCCATCTCTGCACTGAACTGAAGCTCCATCGAATCACTTGAGCGGCAAAAAGTTACACCAAATTGGTTTTTAACTAAAATTTCTAGAACTTTGGCAGAATTTGCATAGGCAAATCTCTAGAAATAAACGAAATTTGATTTGTGGATGGTAAAATTGGATGTCGGGGCTTTATCAGTTTTTGTGCGGCTTCGTTTTGAGGCAATACGGTGATTATCGAGCTTTTTCACTCAGCCGAACAATTGGATTTTATAGTTTAAAGGAACTATGCTTCCTTTAAACTATAAAACTATTCATAACATAACTATGATTTAAGTTTTCTATGGAAATCATTGGTTTACCGTATTTCTCTTTGCGTACAATCAGATACAGTAGCTGTCTTTTAAAAGAAAAGCAGATGCGTTGGCGCGCTTTCTTGTGCGCCAATAAGCGCCAATAAGGTCCCTTTTTTGTGCGCCAATAAGCCCCCTTTTTTGTGCGCCAATAAGCGCCAATAAGCCCCCTTCTTTGTGCGCCAATAAGCGCCAATAAGCCCCTTTTTTATGCACCAATAAGCGCCCTTTTTTGTGCGCCAATAAGCCCCCTTTTTTGTGCGCCAATAAGCCCCCTTTTTGTGCGCCTTAAGCGCCAATAAGCCTCCTTTTTGTGCGCCATTAAGCGCCAATAAGCTCCTTTTTTTGTGCGCCAATAAGCTCCTTTTTTTGTGCGCCAATAAGCGCCATTTTTTGTGCGCCAATAAGCGCCAATAAGCCCCCTTTTTGTGCGCCAATAAGCGCCAATAAGCCCCCTTTTTGTGAGCCAATAAGCGCCAATAAGCGCCAATAAGCCCCCTTTTTTGCCAGACGCATTAGTTGATTTAAAAAATAAACTTTCTCTTTTTAAAAACAGTCAAAAGAAGCTTCAGTTCTGGTTTTTGATGAAAGCAATTTGAAGATTTTGTTTATAAATCGACTTTATAAACTCTTTCAAAAGCTTTTGTCATATTGAAGAATGAAATTTCTCTATTTAATTTCGCTTCTCTTTGCTTTAATTGTAGCAGATTTTCCGGATCTATGTGAGGTTGGGAAAATCCAGAAAAAATATTATATTAAAATATTCTGCGTTCAGGTTCTCTCCGTTGATCGCAATGGAATGGTCGAGGTGAGAAGTTTGGCTAAGTTGGTTGAAAAATGTTTTTGAAGAAAAGAGAAACAGCCATCAATTTCTAGCTATCAACTTGCAGATTTTTGCATTGTTTTTCAACAATTTAAGCCTTGTTTTTCAAAAATTTAAACAATCTTGCGTTTAGCTCGAATTTCCGGTCAATTTCGGTTCTTCGGGAGCCGCTCGAAGAAAAACGGCTTTCTCCGAATTCAACAAAGTCGATCAAGATAGTTAGAATTGAGATTGAATAATCCTGGAAATTAAATGCTGAAAAATGGAAATGATTAAGCAAAATTGTAATTGATTAAGCAATGATTAAGCAGAATTATTTAGAGTTAATCAAAATTTGTGGTGGCTCTGATGGGAAACCGTGTGATCAACATAAATGCGTAAGTGTAGAAGAAAAGTCTGAAGAAAAACTTCTATAGAAATGTTCTATAGAAGCTGTAAGAGCTGTAGAAAGCTTTTATAGAAATGTTCTATAGAAATTCTTTAAAGAAACCTATTAAAGAAACCTATTAAAGAAATCTTTTATAGAAATCCTTTATAGAGATCTTTTATAGAAATCTTTTATAGAAATCCTTTAAAGAAATCCTTTAAAGAAATCCTTTATAGAAATCCTTTAAAGAAATCCTTTATAGAAATCCTTTATAGAAATCCTTTATAGAAATCCTTTATAGAAATCCTTTAAAAAGAATCCTTTAAAGAAATCCTTTATAGAAATCCTTTATAGAGATCTTTTACAGAAATCTTTCATAGAAATCCTTTAAAGAAATCCTTTAAAGGAATCCTTTAAAGAAATCCTTTAAAGAAATCCTTTATAGAAATCTTTTATAGAAATCCTTTAAAGAAATCTTTTAAAGAAATCTATAGCAATCTTTTATAGATCTTGTTTTTTTCATTTTCGATTTATTTCAATCGATTTGTTCGATTTGTTCGATCGATTTGTTTATCTTTTAATTTTCTAGATCATTGTTCAAACAAAAGAGATCTCAAAAGAGCAATGGAAGCCCGTTTTGATCGGTGACGCTTTCCCGAAACCGCTCGGAAGTCGAGTGTGTCGTCGAAAAGAGAATCTTTAAACGAGGATAAAGAAATAACATAATGAATAAATAAATAAAAGATAAATAAATGATAAAAGTCAAAAAGATAGAGCTCATTTGATTACATAAATTTATAAAATTTGAAAACGATTTGTCCAGCGATTTTCTTTAAAACAACAATTGAACATTTTACACAAAAAAAGAGTTTTTTAGCGAGTTGAGACGAGCTTTGAGCTTTGTCTTAAAAGCCATTTTGCAGAGAAATGATAGGGCTTTTTCGGCCGCAACAAATTTCATAAAGAATTCTTTTCTATAGAAAGAAAAGTTTGAAAAAAGATTGTAACCAAATAGATTCTCTTGATTTTTCAAAGTTTTTCTCTTTTCAATATTTTCCTCGCGTAAGCAAGTCATTTTTGTGAGAGCTGGTAAAAGAAAAAAGGGAAAAAAGGGAAAAAAGGGAAAAAAGGGAAAAAAAGACTGAAAAACTTGTTAGATTTGAACTTTTCTGTTTCTTTTCTTTTCCTGTTTCACTTTGTTTTAAAATTTCTCTACTTGAAAATCGATTAAAGCATTCTTAAGCAGCATTTATAGCCTCAATACCAAAGCCGAATAGCTTTTTATTGGGTTGATGAATTGAAATCAGATAGCTTAAACAAGAAATCAAAAATTTACGACCTTAGCTCAGCATTAAAGCATTTGATAGATTCAACAACGCATAAATATTGGGTTGGTGAATTGAAAACTGTTTATAACTGTTTATATTATTGAATACTATACTAAAAAGGAATTTATGGCCTTCTTTAGTCTCATTTTTTGATGGCATTGAAAACCAAAAAGAAATATTGGGTTGGTGAATTGAAAACAGCCGGCTATTGTCATATGTGGCAGTTTGGGCACTTTCTTCAAAAGAAACCCATTTTGGTGTCAATGGAAAAGTTGTAGGGGAAATGAAATGGCGGAAAATGAGGGGAGGGGGAGGGGGGGCGGGTTACGGTATCTGTCTGTCTTTCTGTCTGTCTTTCTGTCTGCCTTACTGTATGGGCATTTTGTCGGCCGTATTTTGCTCAATATTTCATTTTGCATGGATATTATATTTTGAGTTGTTTTTGGTGTCATTCGATGCGTAATTTCATTCTGCATCAAATGATAGTTAAAATAGTCAATATATTGGGTTGGTGAATTGAAAACTGCCGGCTATTGTCATATGTGACAGTTTGAGCACTTTCTTCAAAAGAAACCCATTTTGGTGTCAATAGAAAAGTTGTGGAGAATCAAAGATTAAGTTTATATCCTAATTTTCAGAACGATTCAAAAGCTGGGTTTCAAGAAATGCCAAATTTACGAATTTTCACAAAACTTGCAACAAAACTGGCAACAAAACTTGCATTTTAAGCGGAACTACTAAGTGTATCTTTTTTGAAATTTGGCTATAAGCCTAATTTTTGATTCTCTACAATTTTTCTATTGACACCAAAATGGGTTTCTTTTGAAGAAAGTGCTCAAACTGGGATCTCCAGTCTCCATCTCCAGTCCTCCATTTTTGAGTCTCACACTTGTCTCACACACAAACCAAAATCCTACTACGAAAGAGGAATCCGCAAATTGTCTGTAAAATGGGCAGGAGTCGTCAATAATAATGGAAATTATTTGGAATGAATTTATGGTTTTATGTTGAATAAATTTTAGTTCAAAGTCCCGCAGTTTTCAATTCACCAACCCAATATTTTCCCAGGTTTCCCAGAAAATCGATTTGCTCAGTGCAATGTTTATCATTCATCAACCTAATAGATTACTATATTTATAAGTTAACAATCTCAATAGACATCTAAGTAATGGACTTGTTGAGTATGTTATTGTTGAGTATGTTGTATTGCTGAGTATTGCTTTACTAGAGCAGCAAGTAGCAAGTTTATAAAGCTGCAAGCAGCTAGTTCTTTCCTTTTGCCACCTGTTAGGTTGATATGATAAAGAAAAGACAACAGATTGTTCATCTACAAACCAAAATCCTACTACGAAAGAGGAATTGTCTGTAAAATGGCCGCAAATTGGCTGTAAAATGGGCAGAAGTCGTCAATAATAATGGAAATTATTCGGAATGAATTGATGGTTTTATGTTGAATAAATTTTAGTTCAAAGTCCGGTTCAAAGTCCCGCAGTTTTCAACTCACCAACCCAACATTTTCCCAGGTTTTCCAGAAAATCGATTTGCTCAGTGCAATGTTTATCGGCGGTTCGTTTTTTTGATTCTTTTCTTTCCGTTCTTTCCTTTTTCACTCTTTTCCTAATGCTCTCTCTTTTCTCTATTTTCTAGAGCTCTATTTATTGCTCTACCTCTAAAAACTTTGTCAACAATTTCTTTTTTTTACTTTAACATGCGTTTTTAATTTAGATATTTCAATTTCTAAAGTCTCAAAAAGTTTTCGATGATGAGTTTTTGGAGAGAAGATACCGTTGAGGATTCGTCATGTGCTTTTTGTCACATAAAATGTAAGAATTTAAAAGTTGGGAATGAAAATGATATGAAAATGAAATCGATTTTAGTTTCTAATTGGTTTTTAGGTTCTTTTTAAAAGTTAAAGAAGCTTTAGACTCATTTTTTTGTGTACTTTTTGCTTTTTCTGATCTTATTTCTTCATTAAACTCATTAAAGAAACATTCTTTAATACAAGAGAAAATTGTTTTGTTTTTAAATTTGTTCAATTTATCAATTTGTTTTTAAAAAGAAGAGTTGAGTGCACTGGAAAAGATCAAAAAAAGAGTTTTTTAAGGAGAAGACAAAGTTTAACTGGTAAACAAACTTGTTCTTGTTCTACCTTGTAAACTTGTTCTATCTTTTTCTCAAAAAGTAGACTTTTTGTTTCAACTTCCCATTTAGTCCCAACTTTCCGACACTCATTGCAATCTGCGGAAACGCTTCGATGTGGAGTGAGCGTTTGTTTGAATTGTTATTGGGAACATTACATGATCAATGGAAAGCACAAGGATCACGAATGTCCGATGGAATGTTTGAGATTGCCAATGGGTTAGTTGAGGGAAATTTTTAGGCAAAATAAGTCAAAATAAGTCAAAATAAGTCAAAATAACACGAATTTTGTCTAATTTTGATCGAATTTTGTCTTACTGACTATAAATATTTGAAAAAGTGGCTTGTATAGCTTTGTGACCAGGGTAATTCAAAATTATAGCAACTTGGCATTTGCTGGAGCCAGCCAATTACAATTTTATTGGGTTAGTGAATTGAAAACTGCCGAACTTTGAACTAAACTTTGAACTAAAATTTATTCAACATAAAACCATGAATTCATTCCAAATAATTTCCATTATTATTGACGACTTCTGCCCATTTTTACTAAATAATCTATTAGTATTGGGTTGATGCATAATTATCCGGACTTCTTTTATAAATGATTTTATTTAACAAAAAATAACATAAATAGTTAGAAAAATATGTTTAATTGATTATTCTGGAGCATATTCACCGCCTACATCAATAACTGATTGCCATTTGCTTGGAAGACGATCGATTCCACGAGCGAAGAATAAACGATCTTTGGAGGCAATCCACGCTTTAACATCGTCTATCAAGTCATCCAAATCGTTGTAGATCTTATTTGTTTGCCAATTTTTGAGCGATCGATTGACGTGGTAGTCCGTTGGGGCTTCTCCAGTTCTTTGAGATCGCGAAACGACTCTGCGGCAGACCATCCCTTTTCGAAGTGGTAGAGCATGATATGGCGAAGATGGATATGATTGTCGACACGCATTTTGTTCACTAAAGAATAACGAATATTTAAAAAAAAGAAATAGACAAAAAGCTTTCAAAACAAAAAAGATACAAGCACGCAAAAAGAAGTCCGGATAATTATGCATCAACCCAATATATGCTAACTAGTAGCCAAAATTCGATAACGATTGCTTGGTTCAATCAAGAGAATGAGAACGATTGATTGATTGATTGGTTGGTTGAACGATTGCTTGGTTCAGAAGAGAAAGAGCCTCTAACGCTGACACGCTGAAAAGCTTTGTGTGTTTCACTCTTTGTCGACTCGCTCAGCTCAGAAACATTAATGAAGAAAAGGGTCCAGAAAATTTTTGGGATAATTGCTCACATCCGGATACAATTCAACTTGAATTACCTCTTTTGATTGATTTTTTTTAGTAGATGTCTAGGAATTTTCTCTTGCAACTCATTCTTTTTCTCATTCTCACAATTCAACTCTCTCATTTTCTCTCGGAACTTTAGAGACTCATTCTCTCAATTGAGCCAAGCAATCGTTATCAACCTTTGGCTACTAGTTAGCCGATTAGAAAACCAGTCAACAGTTTCATCTGAAATTTCCATTGAATAGTCTATAAGAATAGGTTAACTAGTAGATAAAATTTGATGCTAATTAACCTTTTCGATTTCTAAAAAAACATCTATTTTAAAACTATCGTACCAAACTGCTAGTTTAACCAAATTTTGGCATTGTGAATCTTCATAAAACTAATAATATTGGGTTGGTGAATTGAAAACTGCGAGACTTTGAATCAAAAATTTATTCAACATAAAACCATAAATTCATTCCAAATAATTTCCATTATCATTGACGACTTCTGCCCATTTTACAGGCAATTTGCGGCAATTTGCGGATTCCTCTTTCGTAGTAGGATTTTGGTTTGTGTGTGAGACAAGTGTGAGACTCAAAAATCGAGGACTGGAGATGGAGACTGGAGATCCCAGTTTGAGCACTTTCTTCAAAAGAAACCCATTTTGGTGTCAATAGAAAAGTTGTAGAGAATCAAAAATTAGGCTTATAGCCAAATTTTCAAAAAGATACACTTAGTAGTTTCGCTTAAAATGCAAGTTTTGTTGCAAGCTTTGTAAAAATTCGTAAACTTTTCATTTCTTGAAAACCAATTATTGAATCGTTCTGAAAATTTGGATATAAGCTTGATTTTTGATTCTCTACAACTTTTCCATTGACACCAAAATGGGTTTCTTTTGAAGAAAGTGCCCAAACTGTCACATATGACAATAGTTTTCAATTCACCAACCCAATAACTTTGTGACCATGCAGGGTAATTCAAAATTATAGCAACTTGGCATTTGCCGGAGCCAGCCAACTACAATTTTCAAATAATCAAATCACTGATAAACCACAAGTTTTATGAATTTTTCAACAAAAAAGTCAATCAAGGCTTTCATCAACGATTCCTTCAAGGATTTGATGTTTTTGTGCGACTTCGAGCAGGCTTTTGCTTCCAAAATGCTCCAGACAAAGAAATCAAGGGGGTTAAGATCAGGAGAACTTGTTGGCCACTCAGAAAACTTGATAAACACAACCCACCGTTAAGTCGTACAAATGACAGCTTATTTTTGGTGTCAACTCAAGTTTATCCTTTAGTTTATCCTTTTTCAAGTTAAGTTGTTAATTGATTTTGTAGAGTTTTCTGTAATTTTGTACTAGTTTTTACTAGTTTTTAAGAGGAGATTCAGGGCTATCGAATGAGTATAATAGTCTAGTTTATCCTTGAATTTACACCACCTTATCAGTAAAATAGTTAAAGACTACGCGACTGTACGCCCAAAAACCCCAAATTTGTTAAGGTAATTGACGTTTGGTTTAAGAGAAGTATTGAAGAGTTCAAGCGGAGTATTGAAGTATTGAAGTCAATATGAAGGAAATGTTCTAATAAAAGAATTTAAAAAGTTAATTCATGTTTAATCACTCAACTATCGTCAAGATTGTGAATTCCCCCGAGTAGCCAACTTTGACGCCCGATTTGACGGTGTTCTCGAGGACTTTAGTCTTGTCAAAATGGCACATTATAAAGTCAAAATTTGACAAGGAATCGAATGGCATCTTTGGTTTTTCGATCGGACCACTTGAACTCTTGAAATAAACGTCTTGAGCATCCACTTGATCTTTACCTGATAGCTCACAATCCAGCTTCACTGATAGCTTACAATCCAGCTTCACTGATAGCTTACAATCCAGCTTCACTGATAGCTTACAATCCAGCTTCACTGATAGCTTACAATCCAGCTTCACTGATAGCTTACAATCCAGCTTCACTGATAGCTTACAATCCAGCTTCACTGATAGCTTACAATCTCTAACGTATTTTAGCGTTTAATTTGTAAAGCTCCCAAATCTATAAAATACCTCATCAGTTTTACTTGTGTAAAACTACGACTACGCGACTGTACGCCCAAAAAGACGTTGTCGCGAACGTGTTAACTCCCAAACGTGTTAACTCATTTCCCACCAAAAGCGCAAACCAAGTTTCAGAGCTGAAACATCGTCGTTTCCTTTGTCCACCGAAAATCATTGGATGGCTGAATGAGAGGGTATTCAAATTGGCGAAAACTTTAGCATTCAGCTGTTATTTTAGTCCTGTCAACCGCCAAAGTGTCAACAATGCTATCAAGAATGTGAGTTTTGAATAAAATGATTGATTCGCAAACTCAGATGTACTTGCAAACTCAGATGTACTTGATTTTAGACTCGCTGACCAATCCATCGCAACTCCCTTACGCACTGCCGTGTAATCATTCGATTTGTCATCAATGTGTTCAATGGTCAAAGTATAAATCTACAAAAAAGAGCTGGAAAGTCTTTTGTCCGGATTGTTCGAATGATTTCGAGATTTGGCACAAAGATCCGACTGCACAGAGGAATCGATTAAAGTGTAAGTTTACAAGGGGAATTGTTTGAAGTAACAGTGAGATTTTGGCACCAAAATGAGAGGGAAACAACTATCGAATACGGCGAGTACGATGCTGCTTTCGGATTTTGCTAAGGATCACTAGTTTTCTAGAAAAATGGCTTTAAAATTTCGCGGTCTACGCTTGAAAAAACGAGGCACGCTTCAATAAAAGGACTTCTTTCGGGCAAAGGAAATATGACTTTGTGGTCGGTCGGTAGAGTGCTCGCCTCCGAGTCCCGTGGCCCTGGTTCGGTCCCGCGCGGTGCCATTGTTTTTTCTCTTTTTCTAAAATTTTATATATCGTATTCTCTCTATTAGAATTGTACTCTTTAATAGTATTGTACTGTAGTATTGTACTGTAGTATTGTACTTTAGTATTGTACTCTAGTATTGTACTCTAGTATTGTACCTTAGTATTGTACTCTAGTATTGTACTCTCTAACAGTGTTCCGGTCGGGAGGAGGGTTGAAAAGATAATAGTAGGCACTACTATTAGAGAGAATACAATATTTTTAATTTTCTAATTTTACATATTCTCTTTTTAGATATTTTAAGGATTGTAGAACTTTTAAACTCTATTCTACTCCATTGTTCACCAATTTTGATTCATAAATCCAGAAGCCAACCAGAAATAACAATTCTAGCAATTCTCGAGTTAAATTTTGACATATTTATCGACACAACATACCGTATTCTCTCTAATAGTAGCGCACTTTGGGCCAAAGCGCCGCCTAAATTGCTCGAAATCTCGAGAACCACTTATCAGAATCTATCGATGTGGGGTCGGAAAATGTAGCTGACGATGAGATCTAGTGGGGGATTTGAGTGTTGAGCTTCTGGGAACAACTTGGAAACCGTAAAGTAGCCATCAACTCGGCTCGGTTCACTACAATTAGAGAGAATACGGTAGACGGTTGCTAGGACTCATGGTATACCAAATCCTAAAGCAATTGCCTGAAAAAAAACAAATTTTCAAGTTCTACAACTCTTAAAGTATATAAAATACAATTTTGGAAGAAAAAGAAAGAAATGGCGCTGCCCGGGACCGTACCAGGGTCGCAAGAATTTTTAGCTTTATTTCTATCAAGGCGAGCCCTTACCCCGTCGAAATTTCGTTCACATCACAGTTCGCATTTCGTCTGCCCGAAAGAATTCTTTTTATAGACGTCCATTTTCGAGTAGATGCCGAAATTTAAAGCCATTTTTCCAGAAAACTAGCGATCCTTGGCATCCGATCCGAAAGCAGCATCGTACTCGCCGTATTCGATAGGTTTGGTGCCGAAATCTCATTTTGGTGCCTCTCATTTTGGTACCGAAATCTCACCGTCACTTCTGACCATTCCCCGGTTAGAAATCAGGACTAAAGCTTGCTAAAATCAGATTAAAATTTAAAATCAGTTTAAAAAATATGAGTTCAAAGTGATTTTATGATTTTAGATCATCTTTAGACTCTTTACAACACCATGAGGAACTCCTTGACAAAGCTGAGCGTTTATGGAGACAAGAGACTGTGAGAAAGGTTATTTTGTAATAAGCATTAGCGAAATAGATTCGATTTTTTGATAGAAATAGAGCTAAAAATCGGAATACAGCCTTTCTGGCCCAATCAAGCTTAGGCTTAGGCTTAGGCTTAGGCTTAGGCTTAGGCTTAGGCTTAGGCTTCGGCCGAGGCTTAGGCTTCAAAGCTTTAAAGCATTGAAGCTTTGAAATTTTTTAGCTTTAAAATTTAGGAACGAAAGATGAGAGAGAGATTCGAAGATGCTTTGGCTCAATGCACATTTCTGAAAAATCATCTCCCAAATCAGTTCAACAAAATTCTCGATAAAATTGATTTTTTGGAGCAAGTTAGTTGGATTTTTGCAGTATTTGAATGACATTTTAGAATCTCTAGAATCTCTAGAATCTCTAGCATCTCTAGAATCTCTAGAATCTCTAGAATCTCTAGCATCTCTAGAATCTCTAGCACCTCTAGAATCTCTAGAATCTCTAGCACCTCTAGAATCTCTAGAATCTCTAGAATCTCTAGAATCTTTAGAATTTCTAGAATCTTTAGAATCTCTAGAATCTCTAGAATCTTTAGAATCTTTCGAATCTCCGAGAGAAATACGACTTTTTCTTCAATCAAAGTCGGCAAGGAGAAGATGATTTCAAGTGAGAAAAACGAGTTTTCAAAAAAAAAATTTCCTTTTAGTCAAATTCTGGACGATTTTCAAGAGTTTTTGGAACAATGTTTTGCTTCAATCAAGGATTTAGAGATAAAAGCTGAGGTAATGGCTTTTTTTAAAATCATAGAGCTTTCAAGAATTTCACTTTTCAATCAAATATATTCAAATTTGAGCATATTTAGGAGCTTTTCTCGAAATTGCACATCACTGACCCTGAGAAAAGCGATTGGTGAATAGCGATTGTTTTGTTTATTTATTTGTTTAATTTGAAAATTGATTTGCTTTGAGATTATTCTTTAATAATTGTTGTTTACTGGTTTAATAAAGTTTATTCCTGCTGAAATACATTTCTATACATTGAAGAACGAATCTGGTACACAAATATACTTTTAGCTTCTAATACTCAGCCTCGGGATCATCGAAATCTTGATCCGATTGGGTGTCCATGCCCACTTCTTCGTAATCCTGAATTGAATGGATCGATTGAATGGATCAATTGAATGGATCAATTGAATGGATTAATTGAATGGATCAATTGAATGGATCAATTGAATGGATTAATTGAATGGATCAATTGAATTGAATGGATCAATCAGATGGATCGATTGAATGGATCAATCGAATGGCTCAATTGAATGGATCAATCAGATGGATCAATTGAATGGATCAATTGAATGGATCAATTGAATGGATCGATTGAATGGATCGATTGAATGGATCAATTGAATGGATCAATCGAATGGATCAATCGAATGGATCAATCGAATGGAATGGATCAATTGAATCAATCAATATTTTAGAGTAAGATTGATATCCTTTATTACATTTCTACAAGAAAGCTATGACTTTTTCTTTTATTGATTCAATTCTTTGCCTTCTTACTCTTTTATGGGTTGAAACTGGAAAACAAACACGGTCAGTGCCGAGATTTGAACCCGTGATCTCTCGCTTACTGGCCGAACACTCACCAAAGAGCTACGCAGACACGTATCTCATTGCCGCCAAGCTTGGCTCTTATACCTTACCACAAACCTTTTCTAGAGCAGCCAAATCCTCGCGCGCCTCCGAGAACTCGCCCTCCTCCATTCCCTCACCAACGTACCTGAGACAAACTTTTGATGAAACTCTCTTCTAACAATTCCTACCAATGCACAAAAGCTCTCTTTGAATACATGAGATCGAATTTGTGATCGAGACGAGCCCAAGCCTCAGCGATGGCCGTTGTATTTGAGAGCATGCAAACGGCTCGTTGCAATTTGGCCAACTCAGAGCCGGGGACAACAGTTGGTGGTTGATAGTTGATGCCAACCTTGAATCCTTCGATTGTATCACGATTTTAAACTCAATCTATGCAAATCTATGCAAATAAACTCTTTTTTCTGGCAGCTCTTCCTTCTGGAAGCAACTCTTCCTTCTGGAAGCAACTCTTCCTTCTAGAAGCAACTCTTCCTTCTAGAAGCAACTCTTCCTTCTAGAAGCAACTCTTCCTTCTGGAAGCAGCTCTTTCTTCTGGAAGCAGCTCTTTCTTCTGGAAGCAACTCTTTCTTCTGGAAGCAACTCTTCCTTCTAGAAGCAACTCTTCCTTCTGGAAGCAGCTCTTCCTTCTGGAAGCAACTCTTCCTTCTAGAAGCAACTCTTCCTTCTGGAAGCAACTCTTCTTTCTTCTTTGTGCCAAGGATAAGCCTCCACCCCATTTCCTTCAGATTTCTGCTCAATTTTAATGCACTAACTGATCTGCCAGCTCAATTTTAATGCACTAACTAATCTGCTAGCTCAACAGCAGTTTGATTTTATAAACTTTATGAACTTTATGAACTTTATGAATTTCCCATCCACCTTAAACCCAGTTGGACACCATTCGACAAACTGAATCGTTCTTTTCGTTTTCACGTGAGCGATCGCCGCGTTCACATCCTTTGGCACCACATCGCCACGATAAAGTAAACAACAAGCCTGAAATAAATACGAATTTTCGAATCTTTATGAACATTTATGCAATACTCTAAAAAAGCAGAAATTTGAAGAAATACCATGTATTTTCCATGTCTTGGATCACATTTCACCATCTGTGCGCCCGGCTCAAAGCATTGTTGTGTGATTTCAGCTACCTAAAAGAAAAAGAAACATTTTGGCACCACTATATACAGTACTGGACAATGAAATATCATATTTGAAAAACGATCGCCACTTTTGCGCGTCTGTAACTCCCTTGTCTTTACCGTATTTCTAAATGTTAATATTACCATTGTGTAGGCCTTGAAAAGAGCTTTCAGAAAATGCATAACCCTAATAGTTTAAACTCAACGACAAGGGAGTTATAGACGCGCGAAAGTGACGATCGTTTTTCAAATATCATAATTCATTGTCCAGTACTGTATATACTTATTTGAGCGCGCGAAAATGCATTAAAAATGCCGTATTTTAAAAGTTCGAAAAGCTCATCATCAAGAGCTTGATTAGAGCTTGATTAGAGCTTGATTAGAGCTTGATTAGAGCTTGATTAGAGCTTGATTAGAGCTTTCAGAAAATGTTGCACACTTTAGCATTAGAAAATGAACCATTAGCTCAAATATTCCGCAAGATATAGCGCGCCAAAAGGGGAAAAAATCAAATATAATACTCCAATGACCGGTACTCTATATGTCGCTATGGCCGAGTGGTTAGGAGTCTTGTATCCTAGTCCGGGTTGACAAGCCAAGTTGAGTTGGCTTCAAAGCAGTGGCCTCAAAGCAGTGGCCTCAAAGCAGTGGCCTCAAAGCAGTGGCCTCAAAGCAGTGGCTTCAAAGCAGTGGCTTCAAAGCAGTGGCTTCAAAGCATTGGCTTGAAAGCAGTGCCTTCAAAGCAATCTAATCAAACGTTCACAGTCAAATCAATATTCCCAGCGAAATGGGGAATCGTTTTTTGCGTTTTTGTGGTTTTGCGCCTTTAAAAGAGATCAAATACGGTCCAAAACGATCAAAATGCCTCAAAATGATCTTTTTAGACATTTTTTTGAGCATTTTGAGTCTTTTCAAACGACTAAAAAGTCTTTTTAGTTAGTTTTAGCCTTTTTAGTTAGTTTTAGCCTTTTTAGTTGCCAAATGATCGTCAAAATCTTTCCCAAAAGAAACCCCGAACTGACTCACCGACATTTGCTCATGAAAAGCTTTCTCAGCCGAGAGAATCGGCGCATAGGTGGTGAGTGGGAAGTGGATTCTTGGATACGGGACCAAGTTTGTCTGGAAAATTTCAAAGAAATCACAATTTTTCAACTTTTCACCTTTTCAATACCTGAAATTCGGTGAGATCCACATTTAGAGCTCCATCGAAACGCAGAGAGGCTGTCACTGAGCTGATCACCTGAATTTAAGCCTTCATGAAGCTTCACCCTATTATCTGACATACAGGGTGCGATCAAAATATCCGGTGGCACATACTTTTTGCTACAATAGCGCGAAAACTCATTTATCCACGCTTTTTCTCATGTTTATTAGATTTAGAAATGAAGTGAGTGATAAGTGATTTAGAAATGAAGCTGGGATGGAAAGAAAAGAGGGAAAAGAAGGCATTTTCAAATGGCAAATGGCCAAGGACCGACTCAGCCTGATGAGACCGCGAAAAAGCTGAAAATACTGCATCAAACAGTACAGTATCTCCTACATCATCTCCTACATCATCTCCTACATCATCTCCTACATCATCTCCTACATCGTCTCCTACATCATCTCCTACATCATCTCCTACATCGTCTCCTACATCGTCTCCTACATCATCTCCTACATCACCTCCTACATCATCTCCTACATCGTCTCCTACATCGTCTCCTACATCATCTCCTACATCGTCTCCTACATCACCTCCTACATCGTCTCACCCTCATAAACGATAGACTATTGCCTAGGTCTTAATGTGTAAATTGTAATTATGTACGTGCAAAATAAATCACCGGTGACCCCAGTATATGGGGTCTTGAAGGCAAAGGTCTCATCAACTCCAAATGCTATTTTGGATAATATGAAAGCCACCCTTATCAAGGACTGGGCAAAAATCTCCGTAGATGCAAAAATCTCGGTGCCGAAGACGATTTGCCGAAGCGACCTAGGCCTTTGGAAAGGATTAAGGAAAAAGGAGGCAACTTTGAGATTTAACTGTTTTTTGTTGTTGTTGTTATTTTCAGTAAAATTCTATAAAGATTTTGTGCTAATTTTCTGAAGATCAGTCTTTCTTTTCATCGCTTTTCATCATTTCATCGCCGAATCTTTTGGCTGCACCCTTTAAAAGGATGAAAGTAGCTTTTCAGGTAAATTTCAGATAATTCAGAATGTTTGTTGGGTACTTTGTGATTTTATTGACTTAATTTTTCTGCTTGATGATCCATCTAATCTTATCAATGATTTTTCTGGTATTAAAGACAGCTTCCTCTGATCTGACAGCTTCCTCTGATCTGACAGCTTCCTCTGATCTGACAGCTTCCTCTGATCTGACAGCTTAAAGACAGCTTCCTCTGATCTGACAGCTTCCTCTGATCTGACAGCTTAAAGACAGCTTCCTCTGATCTGACAGCTTAAAGACAGCTTCCTCTGATCTGACAGCTTCCTCTGATCTGACAGCTTCCTCTGATCTGACAGCTTAAAGACAGCTTCCTCTGATCTGACAGCTTCCTCTGATCTGACAGCTTAAAGACAGCTTCCTCTGATCTGACAGCTTCCTCTGATCTGACAGCTTAAAGACAGCTTCCTCTGATCAGTTTCAGCCGTGGAAGCACGTCTTCTTGTCTTCTTATCTTGTTGAAGCTAGTTGAAGCTTCTTATTGGTTCAACAGGATTTGCTGAATCTGTATAAAGAATACGCCCTTTCCTCTTTACAGCTATCCAAAAGGGAAGCCTTCTATACCCAAATAGCATGCCAGATCGCGAGCGATTACGCGGCATCACAAAGAATACCTCACCAGAATTTATAGACTTTCTCTTTTGTCCCCTGTAAATGATTCCCAAATAAGATTTAATATGAAAAATTTATACCCTGGGGTTTTCAGGGCCGTAGAATCGATTGGCGGAGTTTATTTTAACCCTTTGTCCCAAGAAAAGTCCCAAGAGAATCAAATTGGCTTTGGGTTTAGCTTTTCATAATGTAAAGACCGAGAAAAAACCAAATTTTTTTTTTACCTGAGCTATCAATCGATTAAGATTTGTGTACGTGGGTCTTTGCATATCCAAGGATCTCTTGCAAATATCGTAAATCGCCTCGTTGTCGACCATGAACGAGCAATCCGAGTGCTCCAAAGTGGTGTGAGTGGTCAGGATTGAGTTGTACGGCTCGACCATTGATGTGGAGACCTGGAAAGATGGAAAGGTGATTTCTGTGATACGAAATCAGTAAAGCAATTCGAAAAGCATTGTTAATTTGCAAACCTGTGGAGCTGGGTAAATGCAAAACTCCAATTTGCTCTTCTTTCCATAGTCGACTGAAAGTCTCTCCATGAGAAGAGCGGTGAATCCCGAGCCGGTGCCACCGCCAAAAGAGTGAAAAACGAGGAAGCCCTAAATTGAAAAGCTTTCATTTTTTATTTGATTTTACCTGCTCTACAAAAAAAGCTCTTAGTTCTAGTTCTAGTTCTAGTTTCAGTTCTGGTTCTAGCTCTAGTTCCAGTTCCAGTTCTAGTTCTAGTTCTAGTTCCAGTTCTGGTTCTAGTTCCAGTTCTGGTTCTAGTTCCAGTTCTAGTTCTAGTTCTAGTTCTAGTTCCAGTTCCAGTTCTGGTTCTAGTTCTAGTTCTAATTCAAGTTCTAGTTCCGGTTCTAGTTCTAGTTCTAATTCTAGTTCTAGTTCTAGTTCCAGTTCCAGTTCTGCTTCTAATACTAGTCTTTTAGTTCTAGCTTTTGCGTGTTTCGATCAAAAATTCCAATCTTCTCCACCAAAATCTAACAAACTTCGGTTTAATACAGTTTCTAACAGTTTCTGAAATGCAGTTTTCGAGAGGGCAAAATTCCCTGATTTTTCTTTCGCTACCGGAAAAGTAATATGCTAGCAATAGTAATATGTATCGTATATGCTAACTAGTAGCTAAAGTTTGATAACGATTGCTTGGTTTGATCGAGCGAATGAGCCTAACGTTGATGTGTAGGTTTCATTCTTTTTGGACTCGTTCAGCCCTATAGAAATGCTAATGAAAAAAAAGAATCCAGAACATTTTTAGCAGGATTGGCTGACCCAATATCCGGATACAATTCAACTTATCCTAGCTCTTTGATTTAGCAGAAGTATGGAAGTTTTCTCTCAAATTAGCCGTCAAAATATGCTGATTTGTTTGAACAATCATATCTGATTCTCTCAATTGAGCCAAGCAATCGTTATCAAACTTTGGCTACTAGTTAGCATATACTTATTGATTGTTCAGTAGAAATTTCAGATGAAACTGTTGACTGGTCTGGTTCAAGGCTGGTCAAGGCTGGTCAAGGCTGGTCAAGGCTGGTCAAGGCTGGTCAAGGCTGGTCAAGGCTGGTTCAAGGCTGGTTTTCAAGAAATCCATAAACTTAAGAACTAGACTTATGGAAAACCCTAATAATGTAATCTTGAATTTAAATCGAGTCCAATCGCAGCAACGATGCTAAATCTTTAGCAAACCTGCAATCCTTTGCATCTTTCAACAAGTCTCCTCACTCTTTCCATGCACACATCGATGATCTCTTTTCCGATTGTGTAGTGACCTATAAAAAGTCTCATAGAAAACAACTGATAGTTGGAATCAAAAAAAAGCAATCAAAAAAAGCATAAAGAATTCATAATTCTGTTAAAATTAAACATTAATAAACATTAAAACTAAAAGATTAAGTAAAAAAAAAAGCACTTATGCCGCACCCTGTAGATGCTGCAGTCTGTATAATTCTATCCCTCCTCAAGTGTAGACTCAAGCTCAACCTCTTGCATAGTTGTTGGCAGCATCTTCCTTTCCAGTGATCATTTGCTCGGGATGAAACAAATGTCGATAAGTGCCCGTTCGAATCTCATCAATTGGTGTTGGCTCAAGATCGATCATGATCGCCCGTGGGACATGTTTCCCAGAATGAGTCTCCGAGAAGAAAGTGTTGAAGGAATCGTCATCTTGGACTAAATCTTCATTTTGGACTAAATCCGATCTTGGAATATTTCTTCAAATCTTGCTTATTTCTTTTCCCAACCATAATCATCATACACTCTTCCATCAGGCGCCAATCCGTGCTCGAGACAGTAAAGCTCCCAGCACGCGTTTCCCATTTGAACTCCGGCTTGGCCGACATGGATTGAAATGACCTCACGCTGAAAATCAAGAGTTTTACTTGAAGTAAAGCTCATTGAGCTCACTGAGCTAAACCTCATTGTCAGCTAAATTGAACCGTTAGTCAATCAATTCATTTCTCGATCCTCAACACTTTGATAACAACTTAGTTTACATTAAACCCACCGTAAATACTGTAATAGTACCCCATCGCCCTCGTACAGTCGCGTAGTCGCAAGTATTTCAGAGGCATGTCGCAGTTTTTTAGTATTTCATTTTTTTTCAAAGCGCCCGTACGTTCAAAAAATGCGTCTTTGGTATTAAAAAATAGCCCTGAATTTCAGCTATTTTTTGATACCTTTGCGCGCATTGTAGCATAAACCAGTGTCGAGAAAAACCCGTTCAAAGCTAGACTACGCAACACTCCGCACCGTCATTATAGGGGTGGGGTACTATTACAGTATTTACGATAAGTTTAAGTTAGTCTTTTGTCATTCTATTAGAGGATGTCGTTCTATTAGGGGATGTCGTTCTCTTAGAGGATGTTGTTCTATTGGGTTGTCCAGTTATGAATGCGCGTTTTTACTATTTTGTAAATTTCTCAAGATATCGAACAGATGTATATGAGTGTTATATACCATTCGAAAGCTGAAGATCTCCTCTACATTTTGGAATAAAAAAGTTTTTGAATTCATGCAACTTTTTGGGAAATTGACTGCACAAAGGGAGAGGTCGTTTCGGAAAAAAAAACTCATTTCAGCTTAGCTATTCCTCAAGTTTCGTGGTGTAAAATAACCGCCCAGAAAAGAAAAGATGCTCTGAAATTGTTTGTATTTTAAAAAAGTTGTATTGATATATCTATTGGCCAAACATCAAACGGTTAACTCAATTTGAGCGAAGCCAAAACTTGATCCAAAGGCACCTTTCCATTTTTTGGCCACCTCTTCTTCTGTGCCATCAATTTGCCCAAAAGCTGAACAAATTCAAAAACTTTTTATATCAAAATGTAGAGGAGATCTTCAGCTTTCGAATAATACTCATATATATCTTTTTCTTGATTTCGGTATCTTGAGAAATTTACAAAATAGTAAAAAACGCGCATTCATAACTGGACAACCCAATATTAGAGGATGTCGTTCTATTAGAGGATGTCGTTCTATTAGAGGATGTCGTTCTATTAGAGAATCTCGTTCTATTAGAGAATCTCGTTCTATTAGAGAATCTCGTTCTATTAGAGGATGTCGTTCTATTAGAGGATGTCGTTCTATTAGAGGATGTCGTTCTATTAGAGGATGTCGTTCTATTAGAGAATCTCGTGCTATTAGAGAATCTCGTTCTATTAGAGGATGTCGTTCTATTAGAGAATCTCGTGCTATTAGAGAATCTCGTTCTATTAGAGGATGTCGTTCTATTAGAGAATCTCGTGCTATTAGAGAATCTCGTTCTATTAGAGGATGTCGTTCTATTAGAGAATCTCGTGCTATTAGAGAATCTCGTTCTATTAGAGGATGTCGTTCTATTAGAGAATCTCGTTCTATTAGAGAATCTCGTTCTATTAGAGAATCTCGTTCTATTAGAGAATCTCGTTCTATTAGAGAATCTCGTTCTATTAGAGGATGTCTTTTTATTAGAGGATGTCGCTCTATTAGAGGATGTCGTTTTAATAGAGCATTTACGATGTTTATAGACACGAAGATAGGTTTCGTTAGCTAAACTCTCTAAGCCGCATCATCGAACTGCCACCCCTTTTGACTACCCGACTTCACGCTCCCAAATCCAGACATAAGACATTTAAAAACCGTTTTAATGTTGTTTTTCAGAGAAATAATTGGTCTTTCTAATGAAATAAACCGTAGTTCAAATTGGTGCATTTGTTGATTTTAAACGGAAATACGAAAAGGAAGGAAAAGACTTTTTGAATAGTTTTCTAGAATAGACTTTCTAGTTTAATGCTTGTTTCTGAACAGTTTAATACATGAGTAAGCGCATTGAATCGGGATTTTTCATTAACATCAGATAAATATAAGATAAAACTGATCACTAAAGATAAAAGCATCAAACCAGAAGATCAGAAGTCAAAGAAAGAACTCACCCCAACACTTCTGCCAACCATTGCGTGCGGCTATTTGTGGCTTGAGGTGAGGTAGGTAAATTGAGAGTGTAAATGGGAGAGTGAGTGTTCGTGAGTGGTGGACGAGTGAAAGCTGGGAGGGGAATTCAAGGAATGAAGGGGTGAAGGGGGTAAAGGGGATAAAGGAGGAGAAGAGGCCAAGATGGGGCCTAAGAAAGGACCGCCTCAGCCCTCTCTCCCGGCAGTTACCCCAGTATATAGCCCGTTTCCGGCTCAGCTCCCCCTTCCCCTCTTCTATTTGCTTTCTAGAGATTTCCACTGGATTTAGGCAAAAGATCTTTTTTTTTTCGGAAAATGGGTATTCATGGAAATCTTCTTTTCCTTTTTATCTGGATAACTCTATTATTATAGGTCTCTTTCAAATGAATAGAATTCGATTCCATTCATAATAGATTACTACAAGATGTGCACTACAAGATGTGCACTACAAGATGTGCAATTTAGAGAAACAGAAGCAGAAACAGAAGCAGAAGAAGACAATTTGTGAGAAGTTTTAGTAGATGTTTTTTCAATTGAATTCTTTAAGACGTCAGAGTTCTCTAAGACGTAAGTGTTTAAGATTAATCTGAGTTTGACAGGGATTTCAAAATGAAGTAGAGTATTTGAAAGAAGCGCTTTACTTGCAAACTTTTCTCTTTTTTTTCTTTTCTCTCTTTTTTTTTGTTCTTGCATTTGCTTTGAGTCTAACAAAAAAAAAACAAAACAACTAAAAGTATCAAATTTTTAAACTCCTTTTTATTTTGACAAGTTTGACATGAAGGGAATCGAAACAGGGCAAAAAAAAAAAAAATCCCGTGCGAAGAGCAGCAAAAAAATCCGCTCGGCCACTCAGCCACATTTTAAGGGATGGAGGCCTCAAATAGAGAGCAAAAATGCAAAAATCAAAACTTGTAAGCCAGATATCTTGCTCTTTAAAAACAAGCACTATTTGGCTGAAATGTTGTTCTTGATATATCTGAAACATCATCTCTTTGGCTCATTCTACCTGGTCTAGAAATATTGGGTTGGTGAATTGAAAACTGCCGGCAATTGTCATATGGGACAGTTTCACACTTTCTCCAAAAGAAACCCATTTTGGTGTCAATGGAAAAGTTGTAGAGAATCAAAAATCAAGCTTATATCCAAATTTCCAAAAAGATACACTTAGTAGTTTGGCTTAAAATTCGTGTGTTCAGTGTGTTCTTTGTGCGGCCGCGTAATCGCTCGTCGTCTGACGCAGGGCTTTTACATAACAGCCTTCACCCTTTCTAAAACTACGCGCGCCGGCTCCGAATCCTTAAATTGGACATTGACCTCTCCTCAAATCAAGGCTAATCTCAATCGATTGGGTTAGTGAATTGAAAACTGCGGGCAATTGTCATATTGGACAGTTAGGGCACTTTCTTCAAAAGAAACCCATTTTGGTGTCAATGGAAAAGTTGTAGAGAATCAAAAATCAAGCTTATATCCAAATTTTCAGAACGATTCAAAAACTGGTTTTCAAGAAATGCGAGATTTACGAATTTTCACAAAACCAGCAACAAAACTTGCATTTTAAGCGGAACTACTAAGTGTATCTTTTTGGAAATTTGGCTATAAGCCTAATTTTTGATTCTCTACAACTTTTCTATTGACACCAAAATGGGTTTCTTTTGAAGAAAGTGCTCAAACTGGGATCTTCAGTTTCCATCTCCAGTCCTCCATTTTTGAGTCTCACACTTGTCTCACACACAAACCAAAATCCTACTACGAAAGAGGAATCCGCAAATTGCCTGTAAAATGGGCAGAAGTCGTCAATAATAATGGAAATTATTTGGAATGAATTCATGGTTTTATGTTGAATGAATTTTAGTTCAAAGTCCCGCAGTTTCACTAATTTCACTATTCACTAATCTAATAGATTTATATTTATTAAAACAAACGGAAAATAAAAAATAATAAAATGAAAAATAAAATCATCATTTAATTAAACAAGCAAAACGACCTAAATATTTCGTTGATTTTTTCGTTTGTTCTCTTTTGATTTTATCGATTAGTCTTCACCGGTCAGTTAGTTGAAATCTCTCATTTCTGGCGGGCATTCAAATTTTTAAAAAGTCTGAATTCGGCTATTTATCACAATGTCATCGGCACTTTGCAAGTGATCAATAACAATCTGGGTTGCTCCTGCGCAGAATTATTCAACAACTGTGGCTGCTGTGTCAGCAGAAGCGAAGTCATATTAATTTTCCTAAAAATCATCTGTGATCTGCTAAAAATCTGGGCACCGCAAAAATCCCCAATTGAATGTGGAACGAATAAAATTGCAGTTGCAAAAAGCCGATCAGCCCGATCAGGATCAGGGAGATAAAGAACCAAATTTGTAGAGATAGGGAACCAAATTTGCAGAGATAGGGAACCAAATTTGTAGAGATAGGGAACCAAATTTGTAGAGATAAGGCATCTTCGACTACCAGCAACTATTGCGCAGTAAGACCTTATTTTAAACATAATTAACAAAAGTTTCTTAGCCGTCGACCTCGTGTTCATCCACGTTGAGTAATTGCAAGAACCTCTCCGGCACAATCGCAAGAGTTCTTAGGACACTCAAAGCTTTTACCAGCCTCGCCAAATGTAGCTGTCCAGATCTAAAAAACGGATGCCAGTGCTGCCTCTCAAGGAGATGTTATGATTTTCGTGCAACTTGCCTGTGCGATTGCAAGAATTTGGGACAATACAGGCATCTCGGAGTTCGTCTGCAAGTTTATGGCTTTCCGCCCAGACGCCTTCTGCATGTTCCACGATTAAATGAATAAATATTTTCAGTCGTTTTTTTCTTGTACATCAGGAATAGCACTTTTGGAACGAATCAACATCCACAACCAACAAAAAAACTTGGCCAAACGTTGGCAATGATGTATAGATTCTACTGGTTTTTATTTTGATGAAATTGCTTTTGAAATAAAATTTTTATGAAGGTTTGAACTTTAGGGAACATTTTTCCGTACGCTTTGATGCTTTAATTCAAGTTTATCTGCAATAAGTTACAATAAAACCAAATTTATCTGCACTTTCACAATAAAACTCGGAGAAATAGTTGTACGACCTAAACTTATATATATGCTTTATTCAGTTGAATAGTGCCAAAACAAGATTACAATAATCACCCAGGGCACCACTCAAAACACGCCCAAAAGGATCAGAATTCATCGTTTTTCCGTTTGGCAGGATTGAATAATGGATCAGACCTTTCTGCGACTAGCAAACACTGAGAAGAAGCCTCTTTGGGTGTAGGTCGGGCTTTGAAAAGGGGTTCGGTGGATGTCCTTTGTCTAGGGCTCATGGCGGAATTGAACCCGCGAGCAAAAGTGCCACAAGTTTTGTAGACACACATTTCAATCTTCCACCACTCACGAACACTCACTCTTCCATTTCCACCCCCAATTTATTTACCTCACCTCAAGCCACAAATAGCCGCACACAATGGTTGGCACTTGCACTTGCATTGAACTGAACTTGATGTGCACCTACCCAAAACTCATCGTTGTTCATACAATAGCCGTTTAATGTGGGTGGCTGGGTGCTGGACGGCATCAGATTACTTTTTAGTCTATCAGAGAGTTTCCCCCCACTTCCAGTGGTGACAACTATCGGGTGATTCCATGCGATAACACGCCGTGTGTCGTGGCCATGCGACAACGTTTTCAGTGTATCTCCAGATACAGGTATCTGGGCTGCTGTTCACATTTTTTGAGCTGAGATGATTAGAGTGACATTCTAAGCACAGCAGCCCCATACAACAGCCATTCAGTGTGAGTGGCCGGATCTGTGCCCCCAATCCAACCGTCATCAACCCGACTGTAGTAGCCACCCGAGTATTCTTGTTGTGAGTGCTTATAGCAGGAAATAACGTAAACTCCAAAGTTTAATAACTTTTCCCGTCTGCTCTTTAGCAGCTAGAATCTTCGAATCAGGATCCAGCACCCTCGAATCGACTTGTGGGTGAATTTTCAGCGCAATCGGTCACTTTGGTCAGTTGAACTTTCCTCGTAAGATGAAATCAATGTAACGAGGAATGCTTGATCTTTTTATACAAAGCATAAAAAAAGTCTTTATTTTCGTTCAGACACGATAACACATCGTAGCGCCGAGCAGATGCGAATTATACATGAACCGACTTTCCTTTCCCAGCGCTAAAAGCCGACAGCTACAGTCATCCCATGACAACGTTGCACTCAAATCTGAATTATAACATTTGATTTTTTTCCTTTACGTGTAGATAGCGTCGTCACTTTGGTTAAAATATAGAAATTTCACCACCCGGCCTGCTCAAAATCGTTTTTTTTCAGGCTCAGGCCATAAACTATCAGGTGGGGGACATATGAAATGGCCGCCGTTTGAGTGGTCAACTTTGCAGCTACCATTCACATTATTTTATCATAGTAATGCCATGTTTCGCAGGTGTTACTCAAAAGCTCTTGCATCAGAGAAATTTTAGAGATAAATAACATACACATAATTTGCATACAAAGATTTTTGGAGCGCTTTTTAGAAAACGTTAGTTTTAACAAAAATTCAACGTTTTTTATGAATGTTACTCGAAAAACTATAAGTAAACATAAAAAAACGCTCAATTACAAAGATAAACTAAACGTTATAAGCTATCGAATGATAGCTTATGACGTCTAGTTGATGACTGCTTTGATTAGATTTGATACTATGATAGAATAATGGGAATGGCAGCTGCAAAGTTGGCCAGACAAACTGCAAAGTTGGCCATTTCATCTGATTAAGGGCCTAAAAAAGACAGTAAGACCGGAATTTTTGGAAAGAAAGAAAGAGAGAGTTGGAATTTTTACACTATTTGTTATAGTCTTGCGACGGTTTCGTCGCAGGTGGGTCAAAAACCTCAGCCAGAAGTCCGGCCCCGGACCCTGGCATGGACCGGGGCCTGCTACCTGGCCTTCTGCCTTTTTGAAGCACTCCTGGTCACCACTGCTTTTATTAAAGGTATTGTATGTCTTGTCGTGTATTGATTTCTTTCATTTTACAATATCTTTCCAATTCTGGATTTCGGTATTGATTTAGGCGAAGGACAAAGGGCGAACAAATCAATCTTACGTCCCCTCTCGAATTTTTTTGTGGTCAATCTTTTTCTGTTTTGTTTTTTATTCTGTTTTTCAGATTTGTTTTTCAGATTCCGCGTCAATTCTGCATTCGACAGGGAATTTTCGTGCAAATCGAATCATTTTAGAAAAAGTTTCGGTCAAAAATATCAATTCTTCAGTTTAATACTGTTTCTTGATCACTTGACTTGTTCTTGAGATAAGTTTTTCTCAAATAATCTCATGGCAGGTAGTAGAAGTCGTAAAAGTCGAAAAGTCGAACAGTTGGTATGATTTTTTTGTCTACCAGCAACATCTTACAAATCTAATTTTACAGACTCAGCTCCATCATGGATTTCCTCAGATCCATCATGGATTTCCGCAGCAGATAGATAACTTTGAGGTTCAACTGATCATCCTACTGATTGAAACAAATAATTTCCATATCCAAATTTCCAAAAAGATATACTTAGCAGTTTGGTTTAAAATTTGTGTGTCCAGTGTGTTCATTGTGCGGCCGCGTAATCGCTCGTCGTCTGGCGCAGGGCTTTTACATAACAGCCTTCACCCTTTCTAAAACTACGCGCGCCGGCTCCGAATCCTTAAATTGGACATTGACCTCTCCTCAAATCAAGGCTAATCTCAATCGATTGGGTTAGTGAATTGAAAACTGCGGGCAATTGTCATATGTGACAGTTAGGGCACTTTCTTCAAAAGAAAACCATTTTGGTGTCAATGGAAAAGTTGTAGAGAATCAAAAATCAAGCTTATATCCAAATTTTCAGAACGATTCAAAAACTGGTTTTCAAGAAATGCCAAATTTACGAATTTTCACAAAACTTGCAACAAAACTTGCATTTTAAGCGAAACTACTAAGTGTATCTTTTTGGAAATTTGGCTATAAGCCTAATTTTTGATTCTCTACAACTTTTCTATTGACACCAAAATGGGTTTCTTTTGAAGAAAGTGCTCAAACTGGGCTGACAGCTGACATCCCCAGTCCTCCAAATTCGTGTGTTCAGTGTGTTCTTTGTGCGGCCGCGTAATCGCTCGTCGTCTGACGCAGGGCTTTTACATAACAGCCTTCACCCTTTCTAAAACTACGCGCGCCGGCTCCGAATCCTCAAATTGGACATTGACTTCTCCTCAAATGATGATCGGTTCATTTGGAACCCATTTTTCAGACCGATTTTTCTTTCCAAGTGGATGCAAATGGTTTTCAATTGAAGTATGGGAAACCTCAAATAATTCCGCTAACTCTCGAGTAGCGAGTGCTAGATCATTCTCGATTTCCACCAAAAAATCCGTGCGTTGACACTTCTTGAGGATGCCTTCCGCATCCTCAAGAAGATAAGGAACCAAATTTGTAGCGATAGGGAACCAAACTTGTAGCGATAGGGAACCAAATTTGTAGAGATAGGGAACCAAACTTTATCCTGGAGACATCCTGGAGACATTCAATGCCGCTTTGGAAACGTTGAAACCATGTACGGCATTGTCTATCGCTAATATTTTCTTCTCCAAAAACAGAAATAATTGTACGATGCGATTCAGCCGCAGATTTTCCTTGTTTAAATTTCTATAAAATTCTATAAAAAAATTATCGTTAAAGGTGCAGAATTTCCCCGGTTTTTGCTATCTTTGTCCATTGTATTGTAAATTTGTATAGGATGAGCAAACTGACTTCAAACTTATCTATCAAATACAAAAATTTGATGCTGGATCTGAATCTGAAATCTGATTTGAAAAATATCATTCCAATAAGGAGTTCGGCTAAGTGTTCGACTTTTCGACTTTCACTACTTTTACTAAATGCCTGATCTGATTTTCCACTAAACTAACTGTTTATCTGACTAAGTGTTAATGTAGAACCTAGAGATAAGCGACAAGTGTTTACCAGTTTCGTTCAGATGCGCAATGGCGTCCTGGCATTTCTCCCAGCAACCGGCGGCCACCATGTAGCGTCTCATTTCGATGAAGAAATTCGAGAAACTGATGTTCTTAGCTTGCAGCATCGCGATATACTGAAAAATGAGAGGGAAAGGGAATGTTATTGGATGAGCTAAACCAAACTTTTTCAAACAAAAACCAAACAGAAGAAAAAGTGCTGTGTCGTTCTGCGAGTGCTGTGTTCGTGAAGCGAACTCTTCAATTGCCGAGATGTCAAGCTCGAGATGTCCTAGGACAAGCCTAGGAGGCTTTCACTTGGAGTCCCCCTTCCCCTTTCACTCATTTGTAATCTATTCGTCTTATCGTACCACTGTAAATAAAGATACATATCTTCCGGGTCTATGCAACTGCAGTTCAGATCGGTCATTTCACAGGGACTCCCCCCTAATACGTTGGAGGAGTTGAGTTGGGTTGTCGGGGTGTTGGAGATGGCGGGATATCAAATCAATCAAATCAATTCACTCTCTTTAACTTAACCCAAATTCTAGTCCATATCCGTTTACCCCTAGAAAGGAATACCTTTAGGAAATTTTGAAAAGCTCGCTTTAGTTCATTTTCCGATTCGATCCAATCCGGTGGACCACTGTTTCAGATCCGAAACAGTGGACAATTGGATCGAATCGGACGCTTCTTTTGATCTGTGCCTTTTTAGTTATTGATAGGAGATGGTTGCTTTGTAATTGTTCGTGAATTGTTAAGAGCTTGTTAGACGAACTCTAGTGTCTCCGGGCTCGAGCATGCCAGGAAGGTCGGTCGGTTCGCTCGAAAAGCCTCCAGTCATCATTCTAAGCATCAACGTCGCCGAATCACAATTGTCCCCATAGTGCTCAAGTGGCTTTTTGCATTCGCACGGATCAGCGAATCGCTCGTTTGCAGATTTCTCTAAAAAAAACGATAGTAAATCGTGATCAGTTGTGAACGAGTGGGTTTTTTTTTTATTCCCTACGGCGTAGCGAAACAGAATTTGAATAAAAGATAGGAAATTTGTATCAGGAAAGTGTAAAGCACAAGAAAAGAAGCCTCTTTTTAACATTTCAGAAAAAGAGTTTAATTCCGAATCCGTCGCTTTTCCGATAAATTAGACGATTGGCTTGTACAATTTGAATTCCAAAGCGACGGATTCGAAATGAAATCAGTGATTTCTGAACTGCTAATAAGAGGCTCTCAAACCAGGTTCGCTTCTTGTGTTTGTCACTTTTCTGATACAGATTTAGAGAGGGTTTGAATAGGGTCAAAGCATGAGGAGCATTTTTGAGAAATGTGTGGTTATAACTTTGCTAGAAACATTCTATGTTGAATCCGAAACTATAGACAAATTTTAAAAGTGATGATTTGAGGAAAAGTGGCGATCGCCTTATCACACTCATTCGATCCTTGGTGAAAGGGGCCATTTTATTAGAGGCGTCCTCTCTATTACAGTATTTATGCTACAGTATTACGGTACCATCTCCGTTAAGCTCATCCAGTAACCACCGACGACAGCTCTTCCAGCAATTCACTTCAATCATGTACTCTCGGATGCGCATGAGAAGCAGCGAGAACCCAATATCCTCGTCCAATTTCCAATATTTAGAGAGGTCCAATCGGGGCTTCTCTGAAGCGCGGTGGTATTGCGGCTAAAACTCTGAACTTTCATCATTTGGGAACGAAAAGAAAAATCACACTTTAGAAAACGAGCGAAGAGGGAATCAAACCCTCGACCTTCCGCATACCGGGCGCTGCTCTACCACTGAGCCACCAGCAACTTTTTTTCCAAAAAAAAGAAGGAGACAAATACAAAAAAGCAAAAAAACACACCTCTTCAGGGACAAATGCGGGGTTCAGGCTATAATCTTTGGGATGAGTGCGGCTCGGCTTATTCATGTCACCGAGAATGGAATTGAGCAAAAAGAGGCTTGCGAGAAGCACTTTCAGCTTCGCGATCTCCATTCCTGGCAATTTTCCAATCTGAAGGAAAATGAAACGTTTTACGTTTGTGAATCGAAAAAATGCATTCAGATCAGAATAGCCGACTTTGTATTGGGTTGGTGAGTTGAAAACTGCTGAAAACTGAAAACTTTGATCTAAAATTTATTCAACATAAAGTCATCAATTCATTCCAAATAAATTCCATTATTATTGACGACTTCTGCCCATTTTACAGGCAATTTGCGGATTCCTCTTTCTTAGTAGGATTTTGGTTTGTGTGTGAGACAAGTGTGAGACTCAAAAATGGAGGACTGGAGATGGATACTGGAGATCCCAGTTTGAGCACTTTCCTCAAAAGAAACCCATTTTGGTGTCAATAGAAAAGTTGTAGAGAATCAAAAATTAGGCTTATAGCCAAATTTCCAAAAAGATACACTTAGTAGTTTCGCTTAAAATGCAAGTTTTGTTGCTGGTTTTGTGAAAATTCGTAAATTTCGCATTTCTTCAAAACCAGTTTTTGAATCGTTCTGAAAATTTGGATATAAGCTTGATTTTTGATTCTCTACAACTTTTCCATTAACACCAAAATGGGTTTCTTTTGAAGAAAGTGCTCAAACTGTCACATATGACAAAAGCCCGCAGTTTTCAATTCACCAATCCAATAGTTGATCATCACATATTTTTCGAATTTTCGAATACAAGCTCTTTTATAAAAGGATTGCGTTTTTGTGAAAATCTTCGTCTTCTAAAACAAAGCTGCAAAGTTGAACACTCAAAAAAAAACGACATTTGATAGCTGTCAATGAGAAAATAAGAAAGTTCAAATCAAAAAAGCGTTTAAATACGCGTGTTGTTTTGACTCTGACGCTAGACACAATAAATGAAATAGAAAGGAAAGGTTCTCCTTTTTTTTGTTGGTTGTGGATGGTGATTTGTTCCAAAAGCGCTATTCCTGATGTACAAGAAAGAAACCGACTGAAAATATTTATTCATTTATTCGTGGAAGAAGCAGAACGCGTCTTGGCGGTAAGGTAAGAAGTCGCAGACGAACTTCGAGATGCCTGCATTGTCCCAAGACCTTGCAATCTCACAGGCAAGTAGCGCGGCACGAAAATCATAACATCTCCTTGAGAGGCAGCACTGGCATCCGTTTTTTAGATCTGGACAGCTACATTTGGCGAGGCTGGTAAAAGCTTTGAGTGTCCTAAGAACTCTTGCGATTGTGCCGGAGAGGTTCTTGCAATTACTCAACGTGGATGGACACGAGGTCGACGGCTAAGAAACTTTTGTTAATTATGTTTAAAATAAGGTCTTACTGCGCAATAGTTGCTGGTAGTCGAAGATGCTGATCGGGCTGATCGGCTTTTTGCAGCTGCAATTTCATTCGTCCCACATTCAATTGGGGATTCTTGCGGTGCCCAGATTTTTAGCAGATCACAGGTCATTTTTAGGAAAATGAATATGACTTCGCTGTTGCTGACACAGCAGCCACAGTTGTTGAATAAGTCTGCGCAGGAGCAACCCAGCCTGTTGTTGATCACTTGCAAAGTGCCGATGACATTGTGATAAATAGCGGAAAGGTCGGTGCAGCGTTCAAGATTTTGACAATTTTGCACTTGTATCTAAAATACAAAGTATTGACTGTGAGCTTTTGGAACCAACATGGCAAATTCCACCATTCAAACCAAGGTCCGGCATTAGTTTGAAGGAAGCCTAAAGTTTCGAATGAGTAATTGCATAAGACGATCATTGATTATACAAGTTTAGTTATGTACAACCGTGCTACCTGATCTTGCCGAGAGATTGAGTGATTGCCATGAGTGCTGGTTAGCCCAGTATTGTCACCATAAATAGATTTGAGCAAAAGGAGGCTCGTGAGAAGCGTCAAAAGCTTTATGATCACCACCCTTTACGATTTTTCAGTTTGAACCAAAAACTGGCGTTTGAAGATTGTGAATCGGAAAAATTAATTCAGAACAGAATAGATAGTCGCCTCGACGCCTTTTTTGAATATCAATGATCCTGTTTGGCTGTCAATGAAAGAAAATGAAAGTTGAAAACAAAAAAGCGCCTTGAAAAGTGTAGTCCCCGCAAATCTGGCCAATAAATGAAGAATTTCGATCATTAGCTTCTTACCAGTTCAGTATTGCGGCAGTAGTAGAACGCACATCCGTGTGAAATAACACAAAAATTGATTTACCATAGGAATTCGACAGGAGGGGAGTCATTCAATGTGGAAAAGTGTGCTGATTCCGGATCTAAAAGAATTCTTGAAGTCTTTCTTGCTGAGTTTTTTTTAAACCCGTTCAGCTAAAGAAGTAAAGCCTTGAAAGAAAGCCAACTAAAGACGATTTGCCAATTCCCATCTTTCTACAACTTTCTCCAAACAAATGCTTGTAAACTTGATTCTTGTTTTGAAAATTTCCTTGCTCTTTCATTTTGGAAGAGGCGATGAGTGCAATCTGCATGAGCTCGATTATTTGATCTACTATCCAAGGGTAAAATTTTCTGAAGAACAACCATTGCAGAACAGTAATTGCATGCAGAAGAGTAGAAGTAACAAATTACTGCTTCTTCCGAATCGAAGTGTTCTCCCGCAAGCTCATTACTCATGGTCCGGAATAAATAGTAATCAGAAGGGGCAAGGTCCGGACTGTATGGGGGATGTGCCAAAAGTTTCCAACCAAGGCTGTTTATTTTAGAGCGAGTCAGTTTTGCAACATGAGGGCGCGCGTTGTCGTGGAAGAGAACGATCTTTGACTTGAAGGGCCTATTCTTATTTAGGGAGCCCCGTTTCTCAAAATTTCGTTGCTAGTGTTGTCTATTTGATTTAAAATTGGCAATTACTAGATTTCAAAGATCCAATCCTGTTCTATTGGGTCGGTGAATTGAAAACCGCGGGAATTTGAACTAAAATTTATTCAACATAAAGCCATCAATTCATTCCAAATAATTTCCATTATTATTGACGACTTCTGCCCATTTTACAGGCAATTTGCGGATTCCTCTTTCGTAGTAGGATTTTGGTTTGTGTGTGAGACAAGTGGGAGACTCAAAAATGGAGGACTGGACATGGAGACTGGAGAGCCCAGTTTGAGCACTTTCTTCAAACGAAATCCATTTTGGTGTTAATAGAACAGTTGTAGGCAGTTTTCAATTCACCAACCAATTCACCAACCAATTCACCAACCAATTCAATTCACCAACTTGTCTTGTCTGCCTTGACGCAAATGATTCAAATGACACAAAAGGAGTCAGACCCATTATTGTTGTCAGTTGTCAGTCAGTTGTTGTTGTTTAGCAATGAGAAAGTCTTCACCATTTAACAGTTTTCGAAGCTTCGAATCAGTTTTGACATTAAAAATATCAAAATCACATTACAGTTCTTTCAAAAGTTCAGTTTTGATTCTTCTAAGAAAGCTTGTGAAACAAAAGCAAGCGAGAGTTTGTGAGAAACTCAATTTATTTCATAGTAGGCGCTTTCCACAGGCTTTTCTAGACAAGCAACAGCGCCAAAAGGCAATAATTTTGAAAAAAACTAACTTAAAGTTGTTAACGTTGGGCGTATTGATAAGTGCGCTTTCTTTTTAGCATTAAACTTGTACAAAACTTGTACAAAATGAGCTCTAAACCTAGTCGCTAGGTGTAGAGTCGTACTCTAGTGAGACAGGGCATCAAGGCCAGTGTTTTTAAGATTACGAGATACTTCTTAAATTGCCCCATCGTGATACAAAGTTGAAAAATTTCTCAAAATTTCTCTTCATCAACATCTATTCAGGGCAAGTAGTAAAATAAGGAAAGAATTTAGTTCTCATTGTATCGAAAGATCTTCGAGAGCATCATCGAGACGTGCTCTGAACGTAAGATTGAACTAATCGAGCTAATCTCTAGAAAACTTTAGGCAGAAATGTGCTGCAAAATCTCATCGGTTTTGTGAGTTTAAATTTCGAAGTTTAAGTTTCAAAAAAAACGTTGAAAGTTTACATTTTTCTAAGTTTTTCCGCTTAGAACATGATCTTTATAGATTTCCGAAGACAAAGAGCAATGTGGAACCGAGAAAATCCCGTTGACGTTGATTGTGGCAAAGAAAATGATCTATAGGAATTGTCCGCAACATCGAGGTTAGTCAAAATTTTGTAAAATTTCATAAAACTATTCAAGATTTAGAATCAGATTCAAAAAAAAACCCTTTTCAGAACACTATCAACGCATCTGTTTCATTCACGATTTGTGCTACGGAGCCGTGCTCAAGAAAACCCATACGAAAGAGCAATGTGATCAGAGGTTTCATTTTTCGTTGTACTTTGCTGGTTGTGCTTTGTGCTCGAAATGTAAACAAACCATTTCTGATGCACAAATAGCTTTTAGTTTCTGTGACATGTTGAGCTATATGACAAAAAGCACCGACAATAACCCGAAATGTGCCGAAGTTGGCGACAACTTTTGCGCAATTGTGCAAGTAAGACGCTTGAAATCATTGAATACTATATTATTAATATTAAATATTAAATAATATTCAAAATGAATGCATATGTTTCAATCTACTATTGATTCTACTACTATCTATCCCATTTCAAACAAGTTCGATTTAGTGGAATGCTTTAAAATTTGGTCTCCTTCCCTATTAAATCTTATTCCAAAAATAGAACGTGTTCAATTTTAACGAGGCATTTCACCAGAATTGCTCTTTATAAAATTAATTTTGACAAATTCTTCTCCTTTAGTTATTCTAATAGATTGCAACTCTTTGGTCTTGAAACGTTACACCAACGCCGCCTTATCATCGATTTAGTGGAATGCTTTAAAATTGTTAAAGGCATTCATCCCGACCCCCTTTTTTCTATTTTTTCTCATTCATCCCGACCCCGACCCCTTTTTTTCTTTGAATTCGGCTCTCTACGGGGCGCCTTCAGAAGGGGACCTTTTCTCATACGCCAACTTTCTGTTTCCTCTAAAAGCTCCCACAGTTTCTTTTTTAATCGAGTTATTAAATTGTGGACCCTTTTACCAAGTCTGTGCCGAAAAGGAATCAAATCTGTAGAGAAAAGGAATCAAATCTGTACCGTAAAGGGACCAAATCTGTACCGAAAAGGAAACAAATCGTGATATTCCCACCTTTTGCTAGATTTAAAGCCGCAATTTCGGCAATAGATTTGACTGCTCTGTGATTCTTTTCTTGAGGTATCTTTTTACCTTTTGGGTGTGTTTCCTGGGTGATTATTGTAATCTTGTTTTGTCACTATTCAACTGAATAAAGCATATATATATTTAAGTTTCAGTCGTACAACTATTTCTCCGATGGTGATTCACAAATCGGCAACACAACCATATCCAGCCAGACCACCGAAAGAAATCCTTATATTTAAATAAAGTTATGCAATACATACACAAGTTTTATTGTAAAAGTGCAGATAAATTTGAATCAAAGCATTATATTGGGTACGGAAAAATGTTCCCTAAAGTTCAAACGTTCATAAAAATTTTTTTTTTTTCAAAATTTTTCAAAAGCAATTTAATCAAAATAAAAACCAGTAGAAATATACATGGTTGTCAACGTTTGGCTAAGTTTTCAATTACTAAAGTGTAGAACAGCTCCCTTGAATCGATAAACTCCTTGATGCCATTTTCAACCTCCCCTTGAGTAGCAAAGCATTTCTCCGATAAGAAGTGATCGAGGAACTTGAAAAAGTGGAAATCTGTAGCTCAGGAGAATATAGAGCATGAGAGAGGACTTCAATGTGCGACTCATTCAATTTTTGAAGAGCCTTCAGTTAAAAATGCGGGCGGGCGTTGTCTTGCAATAGGACCCTTCCGATTCACTAGAGCTGGATCGAAGTTTTTCATACATTTCGTTTATTTCGTGAATATACTTTTCAGAATTCATCGTTTTTCCGTTTGGTAGGATTGAATAATGGATCAGACCTTTCTGCGACCAGCAAACACTGAGAAGAAGCCTCTTTGGGTGTAGGTCGGGCTTTGAAAAGGGGTTCGGTGGATGTCCTTTGTCTAGGGCTCATGGCGGAATTGAACCCGCGAGCAAAAATGTCACAGGCTTTGTAGACAAAGCCTTCACTCTTCCACCACTCACGAACACTCACTCTTCCATTTACACCCCCAATTTATTTACCTCACCTCAAGCCACAAATAGCCGCAAATATGGTTGGCACTTGCACTTGCATTGAACTGAACTTGACGTGCACCTACCCAAAACTCATCGTTGTTCATACAATAGCCGTTTAATGTGGGTGGCTGGGTGCTGGACGGCATCAGACTACTTTTTTAGTCTTCCCAGAGTTTCCCCCCACTTCCAGTGGTGACAACTATCGGGTGATTCCATGCGATAACACGCCGTGTACCATGGCCGTGCCACAACGTTTTCAGTGTATCTCCAGATACAGGTATCTGGGCTGCTGTTCACATTTTGAGCTGAGATGATTAGAGCGAGCTATTCTAAGCACAGCAGCCTCATACAACAGCCATTCCGTGTGAGTGGCCGGATCTGTGCCCCCAATCCAACCGTCATCAACCCGACTGTAGTAGCCAACCGAGTATTCTTGTGGTGAGTGCTTATAGCAGGAAATAACGTAAACTCCAAAGTTTTATAACTTTTCCCTTCTGCTCTTTAGCAGCTAGAATCTTCGAATCAGGATCCAGCACCCTCGAATCGACTTGTGGGTGAATTTTCAGCGCAATCGGTCACTTTGGTCAGTTGAACTTTCCTCGTAAGATGAAATCAATGTAACTTGGAATGCTTGATCTTTTTATACAAAGTATAAAAAAAGTCTTTATTTTCGTTCAGACACGATAACACATCGTAGCGCCGAGCAGATACAAATTATACCGGAACCGACTTTCCTTTCCCGGCGCTAAAAGCCGACAGCTACAGTCCTTCTTTGACAACTCCTTCTTCTCTGAATATAATATTTGATTTTTCTTCTTTACGTGTAGATAGCGTCATCTGTCTGGTTAAAATATAGAAATTTCATCACCGAAAGTTTGAAAGTTGCCAACCTAATCAATTTGAGGTTGAACTGATCATTCTTTAAAAAGAAATTTTTTTTAAAGGTGCAGAATTTTCCCGGCTTTTGCTATCTTTGATCATAAATTTGTATAGGATGAGCAAACTGACTTCAAACTTATCTATCAAATACAAAAATTTGATGCTGAATCTGAATCTGAAATCAGATTTGAAAAATATCATTCCAATAAGGAGTTCGGCTAAGTATTCGACTTTTCGACTTTCACTACTTTTACTAAATGCCTGATCTGATCTTCCACTAAACTTGTTTATCTACTAAGTGTTAATGTACAGGGTGACCAAGAATTACCGCAACAGCGTCGTATTATGTTATGAGCCATTATGAGCCGTATTATGAGCCCCATTTCACTTTTTGCTTACCTGTTTTTATGGTTTTTGTTTATTTTTCTTATTTTATGGTATTACTAACTTTTTAGGGATTACTAACTTTCAATACATTATTATGGTTGTTTTCAGGAATGGTGAAAGCGACAATCGCTCCTTGAGCTCCACATCGACAGTCGCTCTTTGAGCTCCAGATCGACAATCGATTCTTGAGCTCAAGCGACAGCGTGTTCAGCGTGTTCGTGTTCAGCGAGATCTCAAAGCGCCTGAATGTCCCCAAAAGCCTCGTTTCTCGAACCATTCAACGTTATGAAACTCTGGGCACAGTTTCTGATCGCCCTGGAAGAGGTGCAAAACGAACAGCGGTTACTCCGGAAATTGGAGAGATGAGGAACCAAATTTAGAGAGATAAGGAACCAAATGTCAAGAAAGTGCGCGATCGTCTGAGATTAAACCCTAGCCAATCGGCTCGAGGAATGGCAAGACTTATCAACAAGATGGTGCGCCGGCTCACAAGGCAAAGAAAGTGCAAGAGTTTTGTTCAAAGACCTTCCCAGACTTGATCTCGTTTTCTGAGTGGCCACCCAGCTCACCCGATCTTAACCCATTGAATTACTCAGTCTAGAGTGTTCTTGAAGCCAGGGCATGTGCAAAATCACATAAAAATATCGAAAGTTTGAAGAAGGCGCTCATCAAAGCATGGGATACCCTCGATGACGCCTATTTGCTCGCCACGATCAACGCGCTTACTGTTACTGTTACTGTTATATGTTATAACGCGTTTCCCGAACGTTTGCAGGCCTGTCTGAATGCCGATGGAGGCAAATTTGAATTTAATTGTTAATTTGTTACTGTTATACATTGAATAAAGATATTTGAGTTAACTTTTCGAGATGGGTTGCATACAGGGTGCGGCAAAAGTTCGGAGCCGCTATGAAAACATTGCAGAAAATTTAGCTCACGCTTTTTTTTGTGTCTCGTATACTTTTTTTTCCTTTTTTCGAGTATAGTTAAGGTGATTTGTTACAAAAATTTTCTTTTTAGGAGAAAATTCGTAAGAATGAACGCCAAAAAACGACGCGATGTGATTCTCGGATTATACCAAGGCGGAAAAAATAGCCCGGAGATTGTAAAAATCACGAAATATCCAAAAAGCACCGTCAACAAAGCAATTAAACGCTACAAGGAGATAAAGAACAACAAGGATCGCCCTCGAAGTGGTCGACCACCAACTGCCATAACACCTACGAACACCAACGAAATTCGCTTTCGGATTCGCCAAAACAAGCGGCGGTCGATGCGAAAGATGGGCAAACAGCTGAAAATTAGCCCTCGAAGCGTTGGAAGGATTGTTAAAGGGAAACTAAGATTCTTTAGCTACAAATAGGCCAAAGCACACGTCTTGAGCGACAAATCCCAGAAGAAACGAAAGCGTCTAGCAAAGAAGATGGTGCGCTTGGTGGCGACTGGCCTACTTGAGAGGATCCTCTTCACAGATGAAAAGATTTTTTCTATCCAGTCATTGCGCAACCGCCAAAATCATAGATAACTTCTCAAAAGGGGTCTGACGAACACATTTGCGGCAAATTTGATGGTTAGAAAGCATTTTTCAACTTCGATTCTGGGGTGTGGAGGTATGTGTGCTACAAACAAGACACCGCCTGTTTTTTTGGACAGAAACGTCAATATGCATACTAAAAACTGCCAACAACTGGTATTAAAAGATGTCTTGAAACATTGGGCAACAAATCACTTTGGACAAGCTGGTTTTTCCCTGCAACAGGACTGGGCTCCGGCGCATGGTGCTCACTCAACTCTCAACGTTTGCGCTCAGTTGTTTCCAGGCTTTTGGGATAAGACCATTTGGCCTTCAAATTCGCCAGATCTTAATCCCCTCGATTACTCCGTTTGGGCTATTTTGGAAGGCAAGATCTCGATGAAGACGTATCAAACAGTGGGTGCTTTAAAATCTGCTCTGAAACGAATCTGGGATGAAATAACTGTTTAAGCGTGCGCCAGCATCGTGAGGAACTTCCCAAAGCGTTTAAAGAGGTGTATCGAAGCGGATGGTGGAAATTTCGAGCATTTGTTAGAAGTTATTTGTTGTTATGATTCGAATAAAGAATTTGTTATTAATTTTTAACTTTTTAAAGCGAGTTTTTAAACCTTTAACTATCTTAAGAAGCGGTTCGAAACTTTTGCCGCACCCTGTATTTGGTTAAAAGTCAGGCCTTTTGTGTTGAGGTAATTCTTGGTCACCCTGTAGAACGTAGAGATAAGCGACAAGTGTTTACCAGTTTCGTTCAGATGCGCAATGGCGTCCTGGCATTCCTTCCAGCCACCGGCGGCCACCATGTAGCGTCTCATTTCGATGAAGAAATTCGAGAAACTGATGTTCTTAGCTTGCAGCATCGCGATATACTGAAAAATGAGAGGGAAAAGGAATGTTATTGGATGAGCTAAACCAAACAGAAAAAAAGTGTTAAGAAAGGGTGCCGTGTCGAGCGAGTCTGCGAATCTGCGAGTGCTGTGTTTGTGAAGCGAACTCTTCAATTGTCAAGATGTCAAGCTCGAGATGTCAAGCTCGAGATGTCAAGAAAAGTGGAACTTCTTTTCGGTTTGATAGTCAGGTTGATTTTCGGTTTGATAGTTATTCAAAATCCATACAAAATCTTCGATTATCAGCTCTATCCGATCGAGAAAAAACGCCGACTTTGGGACGGTTAGCGACTTTCCAGTTTCGAAGAATCGAGTTCCATTATCAAAAGGAGAACTCGCCGACGAAGTCAGACGCTTGATTCCGCTTGTTTCTACCTTTTCCAAGCCACATGCTTCAATTATCAATCGTTTCACACAAGATTGACGGCCACAAACGCACTAGAGATATCATAGATGTTTGGCAGGCGACCCGAGATTCTCCAATGATCTACTTAGTCGGCTACAAAGATAATGAAGAAATGGTTGTTGGTTTTCCGAAAAGCTGATTTGACGCTCGAATGAATGCAGAAGTTATCATTAGGAAACGAACGGAATCCCTTGCGATGAGCAAGAGTTGCATGGAGACTGATAGTGAGGATATGGAAGTTGGTAAAGCTGATCTTAGTGAAGAAGAATAGACGATTCATTTATTCATTTAAAATTTGCCAAGTTCTTTATCTATTGAGTTGGACAGAAACTCTTTTCCGCTTGTGCCTTCAGATTTTGTTTGATTCGTTTGATTCATTTCATTATCACTATCCAGGTCTTGTCTGCTTTTTTAAAGGTTACTTTTTGAAATGAATAATGAATCAATTGTTAAGGATTTGTTAGATCTATGGTTTATTTTATTATATCCTACTATTTATTTACAAATTGCTCTTTTAGAAATTCTGAAAAGCTAGCTTTAGTTCATTTTCCAATTCGATCCAATCCGGTGGACCGCTGTTTCAGATCCGAAACAGTGGTCGATCGGATTGGATCGAATCGGTCGACCGGATTGGACCCTTTTTTTGATCTGTGTCTTTTCAGTTATTGATTGGAGTTGGTTGCTTTGTAATTGTTAGTGAATTGTTAAGGGTTTGTTAAACGAACTCTAGTGTCTCCGGGCTCGAGCAGGGACAGGCCACGAGGGTTGTTCGGTCCATCTTCGTTATAAAAGGCTCCAGTTATCATTCTAAGAAACCACGTCGCCGAATCACAATTGTCCCCATAGTGGTCAAGTGGCTTTTTGCATTCGCACGGATCAGCGAATCGCTCGTTTGCAGCTTTCTCTAAAAAAACGAAAGTACACCGTGATCAGTTGTAAACGAGTGGGGGTTTTTTTTATTCTCTACGGCGCGTAGCGAAACAGAATTTGAATAAAAGATAGGAAATTTGTATCAGGAAAGTGTAAAGCACAAGAAAAGAAGCCTCTTTTTAACATTTCAGAAAAAGAGTTTAATTTCGAATCCGTCGCTTTTCCGATAAATTAGACGATTGGCTTGTACAATTTGAATTCCAAAGCGGCGGATTCGAAATGAAATCAGTGATTTCTGAACTGCTAATAAGAGGCTCTCAAACCAGGTTCGCTTCTTGTGTTTGTCACTTTTCTGATACAGATTTAGAGAGGGTTTGAATAGAGTCAAAGCATGAGGAGCATTTTTGAGAAATGTGTGGTTATAACTTTGCTAGAAACATTCTATGTTGAATCCGAAACTATAGACAAATTTTAAAAGTGATGATTTGAGGAAAAGTGGCGATCGCCTTATCACACTCATTCGATCCTTGGTGAAAGGGGCCATTTTATTAGAGGCGTCCTCTCTATTACAGTATTTATGTTACAGTATTACGGTATACGGTACCATCTCCGTTAAGCTCATCCAGTAACCACTGACGACAGCTCTTCCAGCAATTCACTTCAATCATGTACTTTCGGATGGAGTCGAGAATCAGCGAGAACTCAAAATCCTCGAAATCGGGGTTCTGAAACGCGGTGGTATTGCGGCTCAAACTCTGAGCTTTCATCATTTGGAAACAAAAAGAAAATCAAAACTTTTGTTGAAAAGTAGAGTGTGTTCCTCTTCAACACACCTTCACACAAAAAGATTCATTTTTCACGTGATAACGAACGTGATCGGTCTTTTGTGAGCCAAAAAGCATGTGATGATGGATTAAAGTTTAGTCAAGAGGAATACTTTTTAAAAAATGAGTGAAGAGGGAATCGAACCCTCGACCTTTCGTATACCGGGCGCTGCTCTACCACTGAGCCACCAGTAACTTCTTTTCCAAAACAAGAAGGAGACAAATAAAGAAAAGGAAAAAACCACACCTGTTGAAAGATAAATGCGGGGTTCAGGCTATAATCTTCGGGATGAGTGCGGCTCGGCTTATTCATGTCACCGAGAATGGAATTGAGCAAAAAGAGGCTTGCGAGAAGCACTTTCAGCTTTGCGATCTCCATTCGTTGCAATTTTCCAATGCGAAAAAAACTAAACATTTTACGTTTGTGAATCGAAAAAATGCATTCAGATCAGAATAGCCGACTTTGTATTGGGTTGGTGAGTTGAAAACTGCTAAAAACTGAAAACTTTGATCTAAAATTTATTTAACATAAAGCCATCAATTCATTCCAAATAATTTCCATTATTATTGACGACTTCTGCCCATTTTACAGGCAATTTGCGGATTCCTCTTTCGTAGTAGGATTTTGGTTTGTGTGTGAGACAAGTGTGAGACTCAAAAATGGGGGATGGAAGATGGAGACTAGAGATCCCAGTTTGAGCAGTTTCTTCAAAAGAAACCCATTTTGGTGTCAATAGAAAAGTTGTAGAGAATCAGAAATTAGGCTTATAGCCAAATTTCCAAAAAGATACACTAGTAGTTTCGCTTAAAATGCAAGTTTTGTGAAAATTCGTAAATTTGGCATTTCTTGAAGCCCATTTTTTTTTCGTTCTGAAAATTTGGATATAAGCTTGATTTTTGATTCTCTACAACTTTTCCATTGACACCAAAATGGGTTTCTTTTGAAGAAAGTGCTCAAACTGTCACATATGACAATAGCCTGCAGTTTTCAATTCATCAACCCAATAGATTAGATTTTTTGATAGAAATAGAGCTAAAAATCGGAATACAGCCTTTCTTGAACACTCAAAGCTTCAAAGCTTTTTCAATGAGAAAATAAGAAAGTTCAAATCAAAAAAGCGTTTAAATACGCGTGTTGTTTTGACTCTGACGCTAGACACAATAAATGAAATAGAAAGGAAAGGTTCTCCTTTTTTTTGTTGGTTGTGGATGGTGATTCGTTCCAAAAGTGCTATTCCTGGTGTACAAGAAAGAAACCGACTGAAAATATTTATTCATTTATTCGTGGAAGAAGCAGAACGCGTCTCGGCGGGAAGGCAAGAGCTTGCAGACGAACTTCAAGATGCCTGCATTGTCCCAAGACCTTGCAATCTCACAGGCAAGTAGCGCGGCACGAAAATCATAACATCTCCTTGAGAGGCAGCACTGGCATCCGTTTTTTAGATCTGGACAGCTACATTTGGCGAGGCTGGTAAAAGCTTTGAGTGTCCCAAGAACTCTTGCGATTATGCCGGAGACATTCTTGCAGTTACTCAACGTGGATGAACACGAGGTCGACGGCTAAGAAACTTTTGTTAATTATGTTTAAAATAAGGTCTTACTGCGCAATAGTTGCTGGTAGTCGAAGATGCTGATCGGGCTGATCGGCTTTTTGCAGCTGCAATTTTATTCGTCCCACATTCAATTGGGGATTCTTGCGGTGCCCAGATTTTTAGCAGATCACAGGTCATTTTTAGGAAAATGAATATGACTTCGCTGTTGCTGACACAGCAGCCACAGTTGTTGAATAAGTCTGCGCAGGAGCAACCCAGCCTGTTGTTGATCACTTGCAAAGTGCCGATGACACTGTGATAAATAGCGGAAAGGTCGGTGCAGCGTTCAAGATTTTGACAATTTTGCGCTTGTATCTAAAATACAAAGTATTGACTGTGAGCTTTTGGAACAAACATGGCAAATTCCACCATTCAAACCAAGGTCCGGCATGAGTCTGAGGGAAGCCTAAAGTTTCGAATGAGTAATTGCATAAGACGATCATTGATTATACAAGTTTAGTTATGTATAACCGTGCTACCTGATCTTGCCAAGAGATTGAGTGATTGCCATAGTGATTGAGTGATTGCCATTAGCCCAGTATTGTCACCATAAATAGAGTTGAGCAAAAGGAAACTCGTGAGAAGCATCAAAAGCTTTATGTGATCATAATGCTTTTGATCACCATGCTTTACGATTTTTCAGTTTGAACAAAAGCTAGCGCTTGAAGATTGTGAATCGAAAAAATTCATTCAGAACAGAATATCTATTGAGATAGAATATCTATTGAGTTTAGAATATCTATAGCTAGTTGTTCATCAAGTTCTAAAGCTTCAAAATTATCTAGTTCCTAGTATAAAGTGTATAAAAATCGGTAAAAGAACAAATCAAAGCAAGTCATTTCAAAAGTTTGGAAGGATTTAAAGACCAAAACCTATCATTTCCGATCAATCGAACATGGTTTGACTGGCTTGACTCATTCGAAATCTCGTAAAAGAGCTAGACAACGCTGAAAAGATCAATTCCAAAGTTGTGTAAGATTTGAGAACAAATCATCATCCACAACCAACAAAAGAAGGAAAACCTTTCCTTTCTATTTCATTTATTATGTCTAGCATCAGAGTCAAAACAACACGCGTATTAAAACGCTTTTTTGATTTGAATTTTCATATTTTCTCATTGACAGCTATCAAATGTCGTTTTTTTTTTCATAAGAACGCAATTCTTTTATACAAGAGCCTGTATATAAAAGATTCGAAAATTATGTAATGATCAACTATTGGATTGGTGAATTGAATCAACTATTGGATTGGGCTATAGTCATATGTGACGGTTTGAGCACTTTCTTCAAAAGAAACCCATTTTGGTGTCAATGGAAAAGTTGTAGAGAATCAAAAATCAAGCTTATATCCAAATTTTCAGGACGATTCAAAAACTGGTTTTCAAGGAATGCCAAATTTACGAATTTTCGCAAAACTTGCATTTTAAGCGAAACTACTAAGCGTATCTTTTTGGAAATTTGGCTATAAGCCTTATTTTTGATTCTCTACAACTTTTCTATTAACACCAAAATGGATTTCTTTTGAAGAAAGTGCTCAAACTGGGATCTCCAGTCTCCATCTCCAGTCCTCGATTTTTGAGTCTCACACTTGTCTCACACACAAACCAAAATCCTAATAAGAAAGAGGAATCCACAAATTGCCTGTAAAATGGGCAGAAGTCGTCAATAATAATGGAAATTATTTGGAATGAATTGATGGCTTTATGTTGCACAAATTTTAGATCAAAGTTTTCAGTTTTCAGCAGGTTTCAACTCCCCAACCCAATAAAAAGTCGGCTATTCTGATCTGAATGCATTTTTTCGATTCACAAACGTATAACGTTTAGTTTTTTAGCATTGAAAAATTGCAACGAATGGAGATCGCGAAGCTGAAAGTGCTGCTCGCAAGCCTCTTTTTGCTCAATTCCATTCTCGGTGACAGCAATGAGCCGAACGGCACTCATCCCGAAGATGATATCATCCCGATCCCCCGATTCGTCCCTAAAGAGGTGTGTTTTTTTTGCTTTTTGGTATTTATCTCCTTCTTTTTTTTGGAAAAGAAGTTGCTGGTGGCTCAGTGGTAGAGCAGCGCCTGGTATGCGGAAGGTCGAGGGTTCGTTTCCCTCTTCACTCGTTTTTTAAAAAGTGTTATTCAGCAAAATTTTTGATTTTCTTTTTGTTTCCAAATGATGAAAGTTCAGAGTTTGAGCCAGAATACCACCGCGTTTCAGAAGCCCAATTTCGACAAAATTGGGTTCTCGCTGATTCTCATCTTGATCCGAAAGTACATGATTGAAGTGAATTGCTGGAAGAGCTGTCATCGGTGGCTCCTGGATGAGCTCAACGGAGATGGTATCGTAATACTGTAACATAAATACTGTAATAGACAGGGCCGCCTCTAATAAAATGGCCCCTTTCACCAAGGATCGAATGAGTGTGATAAGCGGATCGCCACTTTTCCTCAAATCATCACTTTTCAAATTTGTCTACAGTTTCGAATTCAACATTGAATGTTCCTAGCAAAGTTATAACCACACATTTCTCAAAAATGCTCCTCATGCTTTGACTCTATTCAAACCCTCTCCAAATTTGTATCAGAAAAGTGACAAACACAAGAAACGAACCTGTTTCAAGGGCCTCTTATTAGCAGTTCAGAAATCACCGATTTCATTCCGAATCCGTCGCTTTCGAATTCAAATTGGACAAGCATTTCGTCTAATTTATCGGAAAAGCGACGGATTCGGAATTAAACTCTTTTTCTGAAATGTTAAAAAGAGGCTTCTTTTCACGTGCTTTACACTTTCCTGATACAAATTTCCTATCTTTTATTCAAATTCTGTTTCGCTACGCGCCGTAGAGAATAAAAAAAACCCCCACTCGTTTACAACTGATCACAACTACTATCGTTTTTTTAGAGAAATCTCCAAACGAGCGATTCGCTGATCCGTGCGAATGCAAAAAGCCACTTGACCACTATGGGGACGATTGTTTTTCGGCGACGTGGATGCTTCGATTGATGAGTGGATCCTTTTCGAGCGAACCGACCGACCTTCCTGGCGTGTCCTGGCTCGGGCCCGGAGACACTAGAGTTCGTTTAACAAGCTCTTAACAATTCACTAACAATTACAAAGCAACCAACTCCAATCAATAACTAAAAAGGCACAGATCAAAAGAAGGGTCCAATCCAGTCGACCGATTCGATCCAATCCGATCGACCACTGTTTCGGATCTGAAACAGTGGTCCACCGGATTGGATCGAATTGGAAAATGAACTAAAGCGAGCTTTTCAGAATTTCTAAAAGAGCAATTTGTAAATAAATAGTAGGATATAATAAAATAAACCATAGATCTAACAGACCCTTAACAATTGATTCATTATTCATTTTAAAAAGTAACCTTTAAAAAAGCAGACAAGACTTTGATAGTGATAATGAAATGAATCAAACGAATCAAACAAAATCTGAAGGCACAAGCAGAAAAGACTTTCTGACCAACTCGATAGATAAAGATCTTGACATCTTGACAATTGAAGAGTTCGCTTCACAAACACAGCACTCGCAGACTCGCAGACTCGCTCGACACATCACCTCAACGCTTTTTTTCTGTTTGGTTTTTGTTTGAAAAAGTTTGGTTTAGCTCTCCAATAACATTCCCTTTCCCTCTCATTTTTCAGTATATCGAGATGCTGAAAGCTAAAAACATCAGTTTCTCGAATTTCTTCTTCGAAATGAGACGCTACATGGTGGCCGCCGGTGGCTGGGAGAAATGCCAGGACGCCATTGCGCATCTGAGCGAAACTGGTAAGCACTTGTCGCTTATCTCTAGGTTCTACAGGGTGACCAAGAATTACCGCAACACACAAAAGGCCTGACTTTTAACCAAATATGCAACCCATCTCGAAAAGTTAACTCAAATATCTTTATTCAATGTATAACAGTAACAAATTAACAATTAAATTCAAATTTGCCTCCATCGGCATTCAGACAGGCCTGCAAACGTTTGGGAAACGCGTTGACCAACATATAACAGCTGACAACATATAACAGTAACGGTAACAGTAAACGCGTTGACCGTGGCGAGCAAATAGGCATCATCGAAGGTATCCCATGCTTTGATGAGCGCCTTCTTCAAACTTTCGATATTTTTATGTGATTTTGCACATGCCCTGGCTTCAAGAACACTCTAGACTGAGTAATTCAATGGGTTAAGATCGGGTGAGCTGGGTGGCCACTCAGAAAATGAGATGAAGTCTGGGAAGGTCTTTGAACAAAACTCTTGCACTTTCTTTGCCTTGTGAGCCGGCACACCATCTTGTTGATAAGTCCAAATTCGATTTTTGAATTGGGGTAGAAACTGTGCCCAGTGTCTCATAACGTTGAATGGTTCGAGAAACGAGGCTTCTGGGGACATTCAGGCGCTTTGAGATCTCGCTCGCCTGAACACGCTGTCGCTTGAGCTCAAGAATCGATTGTCGATGTCGATCGATGTGGAGACGCTTTCAGCATTCCTGAAAACAACCATAATAATGTATTGAAAGTTAGTAATCATACCATAAAATAAGAAAAATAAACAAAAACCATAAAAACAGGTAAGCAAAAAGTGAAATGGGGCTCATAACATCATACGACGTTGTTGCGGTAACTCTTGGTCACCCTGTAGTTATTTGTTTGGTTGTTCTACTATTAGGTTGGCAACTTAATAATGATGTGTCTATGTAACGAGTCATTTATTTCAAAAAAAGACAAAAGAAGAGCTTTCAATTCGAAAGGTATTATCCATTAGTATCTATGACTTCTTCCCATCTTCTGCGCAAATCCCGGATCCCATCCTCGAAGAACTTGGGAGTTTTTGAGGCGAAGTAGTCATTCACTGCTTTTATGACCTGAGCATGATCATCGAACTTTTCTCCCTCCAAAAAGTGTTTCGGCGACCGAAACAAAAAGTAACCTGAAGGAGCCACGTCGGGAGAGTAAGGTGCGTGGGGCAGCACTTTCCAGCCATAAGACGTTGTTGCGGTAACTCTTGGTCACCCTGTACATTAACACTTAGTAGATAAACAACAACAACAACAAAGAAAAAAAAAACAAATATTATATTCAGATTTGAGTGCAACGTTGTCACCGAAGGACTGTACCTGTCGGCTTTTAGGGCAGGGAAAGGAAAGTCGGTTCTTGTATGATTTGTATCTGCTCGGCGCTACGATGTGTTATCGTCTCTGAACGAAAATAAAGACTTTTTTTATGCTTTGTAGAAAAAGATCAAGCCTTCCAAGTTACATTGATTTCATCTTACGAGGAAAGTTCAACTGACCAAAGTGACCGATTGCGCTGAAAATTCACTTACAGCGATTCGACGGTGCTGGATCCTAATTCGAAGATTCTAGCTGCTAAAGAGCAGACGGGAAAAGTTATAAAACATTGGAGTTTACTTTATTTCCTGCTATAAGCACTCACAACAAGAATACTCGGGTGGCTACTACAGTCGGGTTGATGACGGTTGGATTGGGGGCACAGATCCGGCCACTCACACTGAATGGCTGTTGTATGGGGCTGCTGTGCTTAGAATGTCACTCTAATCATCTCAGCTCAAAAAATGTGAACAGCAGCCCAGATACCTGTATCTGGAGATACACTGAAAACGTTGTCGCATGGCCACGACACACGGCGTGTTATCGCATGGAATCACCCGATAGTTGTCACCACTGGAAGTGGGGGGAAACTCTGATAGACTAAAAAGTAGTCTGGTGCCGTCCAGCACCCAGCCACTCACATTAAACGGCTATTGTATGAACAACGATGAGTTTTGGGTAGGTGCACATCAAGTTCAGTTCAGTGCAAGTGCAAGTGCCAACCATATTTGCGGCTATTTGTGGCTCGAGGTGAGGTAAATAAATTGGGGGTGTAAATGGAAGCGTGAGTGTTCGTGAGTGATGGAAGAGTGGAAGAATTGTCTACAAAGCCTGTGACATTTTCGCTCGCGGGTTCAATTCCGCCACGAGCGCTAATTTTTTACTTTTTTTCTATTTTCTACGACAACCGAAAACGCAAAGCAAGGCTAGACAAAGGACAACCACCGAACCCCTTTTCGAAGCCCGACCTACACCCAAAGAAGCTTCTTCTCAGTGTTTGGTGGTCGCAGAGAGGTCTGCTCCATTATTCAATTCTACCAAACGGAAAAACGATGAATTCTGATCAGTATATTCACGAAATAAACGAAATGTATGAAAAACTTCGAAGGATCGATCCAGCTCTAGTGAATCGGAAGGGTCCTATTGCAAGACAACGCCCGCCCTCATTTTTCACTGAAGACTCTTCAAACATTGAATGAGCTGCACATTGAAGTCCTACCTATTCTCCATATTCTCCTGATTTTTCGCTTACAGATTTCCACTTTTCCAAGTTCCTCGATCACTTCTTATTGGAGAAATGCTTTGCTACTCAAGGGGAGGTCGAAAATGGCCTCAAGGAGTTTATCGATTCAAGGAAGCCGCTCTACACTTGAGTAATTGAAAACTTAGCCAAACGTTGACAACCATGTATAGATTCTACTGGTTTTTATTTTGATTAAATTGCTTTTGAAATAAAATTTTTATGAACGTTTGAACTTTAGGGAACATTTTTCCGTACCCAATATAATGCTTTGATTCAAATTTATCTGCACTTTTACAATAAAACTTGTGTATGTATTGCATAACTTTATTTAAATATAAGGATTTCTTTCGGTGGTCTGGCTAGATATGGTTGTGTTGCCGATTTGTGAATCACCATCGGAGAAATAGTTGTACGACTGAAACTTAAATATATATATGCTTTATTCAGTTGAATAGTGACAAAACAAGATTACAATAATCACCCAGGAAACACACCCAAAAGGTAAAAAGATACCTCAAGAAAAGAATCACAGAGCAGTCAAATCTATTCCCGAAATTGCGGCTTTAAATCTGGCAAAAGGTGGGAATATCACGATTTGGTTCCTTTTCTCTACAAATTTGGTTCCTTTTCGGTACAGATTTGGTAAAAGGGGTAAAAGGGTCCACAAGTTAATAACTCGATTAAAAAAGAAACTGTGCAAGCTTTTAGAAGAAACGGAAAGTTGGCGTATGAGAAAAGGGGGCCTTCTGGAGGCGCCCCGTATAGCGCCGAATTCAAAGAGGCTAGAAAAAAGGGGGTCGGGATGAATGCCTTTAACAATTTTAAAGCATTCCACTAAATCGATGATAAGGCGGTGTTGGTGTAACGTTTCTATTGCCTCTATTGGCTATCTATTGCCGAAATTGCGGCTTTAAATCTAGCCAAGGTGGGAATATCACGATTTGGTTCCTTATCGCTACAGATTTGTTTCCTTTTCTCTACAGATTTGGTTCCTTTTCGGTATCGGGATGAATGCCTTTAACAATTTTAAAGCATTCCACTAAATCGATGATAAGGCGGTGTTGGTGTATTTTTTTGAATAAGATTTAACAGGGAAGGAGACTAAATTTTAAAGCATTCCACTAAACCGAACTTGTTTGAAAGTTGAATCAATGGGATAGATAGTAGTAGAATCAATAGTAGATTGAAACATATGCATTAATTTTGAATATTATTTAATATTTAATATTAATAATATAGTATTCAATGATTTCAAGCGTCTTACTTGCACAATTGCGCAAAAGTTGTCGCCAACTTCGGCACATTTCGGGTTATTGTCGGTGCTTTTTGTCATATAGCTCAACATGTCACAGAAACTAAAAGCTATTTGTGCATCAGAAATGGTTTGTTTACATTTCGAGCACAAAGCACAACCAGCAAAGTACAACGAAAAATGAAACCTCTGATCACATTGCTCTTTCGTATGGGTTTTCTTGAGCACGGCTCCGTAGCACAAATCGTGAATGAAACAGATGCGTTGATAGTGTTCTGAAAAGGGGTTTTTTGAATTCGAATTTCGAATTTTTGAATCTGATTCTAAATCTTGAATAGTTTTATGAAATTTTACAAAATTTTGACTAACCTCGATGTTGCGGACAATTCCTATAGATCATTTTCTTTGCCACAATCAACGTCAACGGGATTTTCTCGGTTCCACATTGCTCTTTGTCTTCGGAAATCTATAAAGAGCATGTTCTAAGCGAAAAAACTTAGAAAAATGTAAACTTTCAACGTTTTTTTTGAAACTTAAACTTCGAAATTTAAACTCACAAAACCGATGAGATTTTGCAGCACATTTCTGCCTAAATTTTTCTAGACATAGCTCGATTAGTTCAATCTTACGTTCAGAGCACGTCTCGATGATACTCTCGAAGATCTTTCGATACAATGAGAACTAAATTCTTTACTTATTTTACTAACTGCCCTTAATAGATGTTGATGAAGATAAATTTTGAGAAATTTTTCAACTTTGTATCACGATGGTGCAATTTCAGAAGTATCTCGTAATCTTAAAAACACTGGCCTTTATGCCCTGTCTCACTAGAGTCCTGTCTAGAGTCCTGTCTCACTAGAGTCCTGTCTAGAGTCCTGTCTCACTAGAGTCCTGTCTCACTAGAGTCCTGTCTAGAGTCCTGTCTCACTAGAGTCCTGTCTCACTAGAGTCCAGTCTAGAGTCCCGTCTCACTAGAGTACTACTAGGTTTAGAGCTCATTTTGTACAAGTTTAATGCTAAAAAGAAAGCGCACTTATCAATACGCCCAACGCTAACAACTTTAAGTTAGTTTTTTCAAAATTATTGCCTTTTGGCGCTGTTGCTTGTCTAGAAAAACCTGTGGAAAGCGCCTACTATGAAATAAATTGAGTTTCTCACAAACTCTCGCTTGCTTTTGTTTCACAAGCTTTCTTAGAAGAATCAAAACTGAACTTTTGAAAGAACTGTAATGTGATTTTGATATTTTTAAATGTCAAAACTGATTCGAGGCTTCGAAAACTGTTAAATGGTGAAGACGTTCTCATCGCTAAACAACAACAGACTGACAACTGACAACAATAATGGGTCTGACTCCTTTTGGGGAAATTTGGTGAGTTCCAATGAGTCGATTTTGGAATATCAAATTTAGTAAACTGTCAAAATAATCTAGAAAATCGTGTTTTTTCCAACTTCTCTGCAGTGTGATTGACGATTTTTTGTCATAAACAAATTTTGAGAGCGCTAAACGACCTCGAAAGTTCCCATAAATATTGAAAACCCTGAGAAACTAAGTGAAAAGTGTCAAGAGCTTTGGTTTTTATTGCAAAGTACAACGAAATTTAGTTATTAAAGTAATTTCAGACTTATTATAGCAAGACATAACATAAATGGATTGAATTTAGGATCATTTCCGAGTTTACTAGGCTCAAGACAAGACAAGGCAGACAAGACAAGTATAATTGCAGAAAAACAATTGCATGTAGAAGAGTAGTAGAAGTAACTTGTTAAGTAATTTGTTACTTCTACTCTTCTACATGCAATTGCTGTTCTGCAATTGTAGTTCTGCAATTGCTGTTCTGCAATTGTTGTTCTTCAGAAAATTTTACCCTTGGATAGTAGATCAAATAATCGAGCTCATGCAGATTGCACTCATCGCCTCTTCCAAAATGAAAGAGCAAGCAAATTTTCAAAACAAGAATCAAGTTTACAAGCATTTTTTTGGAAAAAGTTGTAGAAAGATGGGAATTGGCAAATCGTCTTTAGTTGGCTTTCTTTCAAGGCTTTTCTTCTTTAGTTGAATACTAATTTTGTGTAGCTGTTGAATAATGTTGCGATTTTCTTTGATATTTCCTTCAGTAAACAAAATTTATCGGATAAAACATGGGAAAACCTTGTACAAAACAAAAAGGAATGTTTTGAAAAAACCCAAAAATGATACGAAATTCAAAATGGAAACTCAACGAGATGACCCATCTCCGAAAAATGAAGAAAAAGAACCGTGGATTTGAACTAACAAACGAAATTTACATTAAAAGATGAAATTTGCTTTGATTGAAATGAAATTTAGGGGAAAATACTTTCAAAGTATGCTTTTAAACGTTAGAACTTTGATTTCAATATGAATTACGATTGACTAAATGAATTTTCTGGGCTAGGAATCTGCAAATTCAGGGTTTTGGCAAACGAAAGCTTTCAAACGTTAGAACTTTGATGAAAAATAAAATAAACTCATTCAAATAAGTTATCTAGATATGTTTTTAGTTATTTAATTGTATTTGCGGATTCCCATCCACTGTAAAAACTGTATAAAATTTCCTTTAGTGTTAGTCATTTTTGGCAATACTCTCACAGGTAGCGCCCGACCCGCACAAACAAAAAAAAACGAAAAAAACAAAGGGAGAACACAGAAAGAGTTCTTTGAAATAAAGAACGTTTGGTATTTTTGAAATTTAGAATATATCTATATATTTCTATATTCTATATTCTATTTCTATATTTCACTTTTTAGCTTTACGAAATTTTCCCATGTAAACTACCCGATTTCTGGTGGATCTGGCGCACCTGGCGCAGTGAACTCGATTCACTTTGGCTTTAATTCATTGACTTTAAAGTCACGGTAAAAAAAAACACCAATCTTTTGTCTGGTTTACTGTACTACAGTTTACTTACAGTATTCAAAAGTACTAGAATGTGCCAAAATGAAAGTACAGGGCAAAATTGGGCAAAATTATCCGGAAAACTTTTTGGAAAAGTAGTTGTCGCAGCTTAATCTATTTCAAAGTATAAAGTATTATATATAGAATTGTAGCCCTTAATCTTGGCTACATTTATCTACTAAAAACTTCTCGATCGGATGTATACAGCTCATTTAACAAGTGCCTGAAAGAGCACTAGTCGATCCCTATCCATCTGCCATTTTTGACGATTTTCTCTTTATATTAGCTGTTACAGCGCTATAAAATTGTTGAAAATAATTTTTTAAACAAAATGCGCACAAAGTTTACTCGATAGTTCTTTTTAGATAAAATTTATATAGAAAATCGTCAAAAGTGAAAGCGCGTCGAATAGGGATCGACTAGTGCTCCTTCAGGCGCTTGTTAAATGAGCTGTATACATCCGATCGAGAAGTTTTTAGTAGATAAATGTAGCCAAGATTAAGGGCTACAATTCTATATATAACACTTTATACTTTGAAATAGATTAAGCTGCGACAACTACTTTTCCAAAAAGTTTTCCGGATAATTTTGCCGAACCCTGTCAAGATGCAACTTCAAGGCCATTTCAATTTCGCAAATTGAAAGTAAAACATCAAGACTGATTATCTGATAACTTAATTTTGGCTTACTGTAGTAAAAGGGGGATTGAAACCTTTTGAGGGGTCAAAGGTAACTTTTAACCATTCCCAAAACTCTTCCTGTGTTCAACTCTTGAAGTTAATCACACAAAAATAGCAACTCTTGAAGTTAATCAAATGTCACAGCTGCGAGACGAGGGAAATTCCCCCTTGGTGAGCTGCACACCTCAGTGCATCGACCATTCAAACTATTGTTTCGTGAGGTCGGTTGTGGGCAGCTGATGTCATTCTGAAAATAATTAGTGAAAGACGAATCTAGGCAATTCGCTTGTGTTAGAGCTACGTAGGAAAGCGGCTATTCATCTTCGAGGATCTTCTCGAATTCGATTGTGGGAGAGGCTAAATCAAAAGAAACACTGCTACTACTGACATTTGTTGAATCGGAGGTGGTTTGACGAGCGAGATTTTTACGGGAATTCATTCGATGCACACGCAGAGCCGAGTAGTAACCATCGCGAACCGAGGAGAAGATTAGGGAGACGAGTTGAGACCAAGCACCCACTGTGTCGGCTGGCTGAAAGTTTTGGGTTAGATAGGTTTCTCGTTAGATTAGTTTAAATCAGTTTCTTGTTCAGTTTTTGTAACACTTACCCTATATTGTCAAAACATTTTGAGATCAAAAACATAAAAATTGGTCCACCCAGAAAAAAAAACTAGATTTTGAAGTTTAAAAAGAAGATTTAGGGGTTTTCAAAGAACGGTAAATACTGCATGAATTGTATTCTATATGGATTAAACAATAAATGCAAAAAGAAATCAAAAAAAAATATTACTCGGTCACAAAGCTGGGAATCGAACCCGAGCCCTTCCTCTGAGAGCCAGCGCTGAGACTTAGAGCCAGCGCCTTGGTCCACTCGGCCATGCGTCCCAACGATTCACCCAGCGTTTCCGGCCATTAAATGCTACTCCTTTTTTCTGCGTGAACCAATTTTTATGTTTTTGGTCTCAAAATTTTTCGACAATATAGGGGCATAAAAATTAATGGCAAAAAAACCGCGATTCTTCATAATTTTTCAAACATTTTGTTCTAAGCGCTGGTTAATGCTAAGGATATTTATTAGATCTCAAAAATCACCCATCTTCTCTACTTTAATTTGATACCAAAGCGCGTATAAACAAATGTCTGGCCACCGAGATATGAGCGTTTGTTTGAGGGTAAACTTGGACTACGCGACGCTCCTATAAGAGGCCGTTCTATTAGGGTAATTTCTCGTTTTTATTTAAATTTATCTCGCTTTAAACCATTTATTTGTGAGATTTAATACTTGATTAACAGTAAAACCCTAATTCCCGCAGTTCCAGTACGGTTTGGCAACTTCCCAACCGTAAATTCGAAAATACACCTAAGCTACCGTACTCGAGACGGCGTCTCCCTTTTTTGCGTATAAAATGAAGCCCCATTTCTTCAAAAATTCATTTTTTTAAGGATTTTCGATCTGTTTGGCGCTTTTCCGTTGTGGCAAATCATTTAGAATTAGTGTTTTTGGGTTAAAAGATTTAGTAGTTTGGGTAAAATTTCGACGCAGAATTTGGATGTTTGAAACCGTAACACTTGCTTAACCTTGAAATCTAGTCAAAATTTTACTACTACTAGCAAGCCCAATTACCTGATGATTCGCCATATCAAGGATCACTCCTTCAACGGTCATCGCATCAGCCAAGGCCACCCAGAAATCAGGCTTGAATCCCATCGTTTTCAACTCGACATGATCCTCGCCGTACGCTCGAGACACGGCCACAATGTGATCAACATCATCTATCTAAAACTCTTTAAATTTCTTTAAATTAAGTCTTATTTTTACCCTTGAGACAATATTCTCCACCAAATCTTTCAACTTTTGCGTCATTTGATAGGCTTTCTCTTTGCCCATTTGATAGACGTAGTTCTGGTAGTCGGGTCGTTTCTCGAAAACTCGTTGGCAAACCTAAAATTTCAAAGATTTAAACCAGTATTTCAAAATCTTTATAGAGTTAGGATTTTATCCCATTTTGAAGATCTTATTCGTTGTTCGTATTTTGTTCTCTCCCGTTTTCCGGTTCCCCAGTTTTCCTGAGTTACTCCCCACAAATCTCGTTTACCCTTTTCAACAACCCGTTTGTTTATCTCATATTTTGCTGTTCCACTTAAAGTTTTCCTTGAAATTGAGTGTCCACAGCTTTATTGAGTGAACATTGATGTCAAAGAGTGAAAAGAGGGGGGAAAGCTTTTGATGAACGCCCATCTTATCGTCATTGCTTTAGGCAAACGATAGCCCTTCTCGAGAAGTGGGGAAAACGGGAGGAGAATGGGGAGGAAACAGAGAAGAACAGCCGTCCCCCCGCACTCTCAACTCCCTTTAGTCGATAACCTCTACCTTTGCAATCATGGATTTGAAGGGAGGGAAATATCCAGATAAATCCAAGACGATAGTTGAAACGGAACAGTAAAAAAAATAGTGAGCAGACCCGGAAAAAGACCAAGGGGAATTCCTTGCTCACGGATTTTTCGCATGGTGATTGATGAAGAACGGATGAGAGGCCGAAAATTGTTTGCAAAGAGATCAGCTTGTACTTTGTTTGTCAGATTACTGGCTAGATTAAACTTTATGGTCCAAAAGGTCAAAATAAAAAAAAATATTTTGGTTTAAAAATTTTTCCCCATCATTAGTTTTGTGTTTTTTTTGTGCATAACTAGGCATAGTAAAGCATAAAAATTGGTTTTGAATGTATTTTGGCTCTGAACCGAGTTCAATTTAGTCGGATTACTAACGAAGTACCTGTAATAGTAGCGCCTTCCCATAATGATAGTCGGAGCGTCGCGTAGTCTAACCTTAAACGCATTTTTCTCGCCACCCGTTTATGCTACAGTGTGCGCTTAAGTATCAAATGAAAGCTGAAATTCAGGGCTATTTTTTGATACTAAAAATACATGTTTAGAAATTAAGCGCGCTTAGAAAAAAATGATTTGAATGAAAATGCAAAAATGATTCAGTAAAAATTTTGCGACTACGCGACTGTACGGGGGCGGGACGCTACTATTACAGATATTACCGTATAGGTATGTAGCAAGTAATGGTCATATTGATTGTTTGTTATTATTTGAATCAAATAAGGTTATGGTTGGTCAAAAACGATTGCTTTCTTGAGCTTGAGCTTGTGCTGAAAGCTTTAAAGCTTTCAAAGTTAGAAGTTGGCTGCTGTAGATAGCTTTTGTAAGCTATAGGACTTTCTAAAAGCCATGAACTCGTGAAAATCGATAGAGGTGTGATAATAATTCTTACAGAGAGAAAAAAAGCGGCAAAAGAGGTGTTGCTGGAAATCAATAAGTGTGCCGTTGACATGTTTGCGAAAGGTCAAAGTGAAATCACAATGTGGTTTTGCGATTCGTTTAGTTACCAATTTAGAACTTAAACTCTGTTCCACCAGCCAAGATTAGCAAAATTATGCTGAAACCAGCGGAAAACGCTCACTAACTTTTGCGTTTTCCACGCAATCCGCCCTTTTTTTGCCGATGGCTCCGCACAGACGGACGGACAGACGTCTCTTTTGCTTTATATATAGTAGATCATTATAAGTTTTCCAATTCAAACAGTACTTCTTTTAAACTCGACTCCACAAATTCCAAATTCGTCCAAATGGAGAAGCCCCATTATAGCAGAAAAAATTGCCCTACTCGCTTCCATTTCTCATCTCCAATTTCCTGGATACCATCTCTTTTCTCGTCAAAAAAAATTTCTTGTCAGCTTTTCATGAAAAATTCTCGTGTCCCCCCTGGTCCTCTTTGTAATGTTTGTTCTCTATGGGGGTCGAGGCATGAGTTGTCCGCTCTCTCACCCAATGGGTTGCCCCGGCTGTCCCCCTCTGCTCTCCTCTCATTCCTCAATCTCTCATCGCCTTAAACGCTGTGCATCCCACAGCGGGATGCTTTCAGCGGGATGCCCAGCACCCGCCCGCGATGCCCCGCGCAAAATTTTGTGTAATTTTGGGCCTAACAACCGCCTGCAGCATTTGAATTTCATGAATTTCTTATCTTTTCCGCCGTGAAATGCTCTCAAATTTTTTGTGACACAAAATGCGGTTTGTTTACCGCAGAAAATTCTATTTTATCGATTGCGTTCGAAATTTACAGTCAATGTTTTTGTAAACAAGCGCAAAATTGAAAGTTAACGTTTTAAAAGCTGCTCCTCAACTACCGTAAGCAATTATTGTCGAAAATTTTCCCTTGATTAATTCATTTGTGAAATTTCGCTCACATTTTCGAAAGCTTAGACGTTTTTTTTATTCTAAAGCGCTTTCTTTTTTAAAAAGTTTATATATTTTCTTGATAAATTGATATTGATGATAGATAAATTGATAGATTAGAGCAAAACATTAGATTTTCTAGAAGTCTTTTTGTCTTATGAAAGAAAATTTTCTTTTGCGTAAAAACATCTCTAAATCAGCCAAATTTCATCCCGATTAACAACTTTTGATAGCTCTGAAGCGTTTTGCTCTAGTATTTTATTGTTTTATTGTTCCTTTTTTTAAAGATGTCGAGTTTATATTAACTGTTCTTTTTAGAGTCTTTGACGAAAGCAAAGATGACTGACCGAAAAGCCGTAATCAAGAATGCCGACATGAGCGAGGATATGCAACAAGATGCCATAGATTGTGCCACTCAAGCACTTGAGAAGTGAGTTTTGTTTTGGAGACTGGTTTTTTCTAAGCAAATCCTTAGATGCATTACATATTCGTTAAAGGATGTCTTTAAATAATAGTTTTTAATCGCTCGTAGCTCTTAAAGCTCTTAAAATATGTATTTATCTCGAATTGGTCGTAGTTAAAGTTAAGGTTTTGTGACAGGAATCTTTTCAACTAAACTTAATTTAAGTAAATGTCTGTTTTCTTGATGACATTTTACTTTTTAGATACAACATCGAGAAGGACATTGCTGCCTACATCAAGAAGGAATTCGACAAAAAGTACAACCCAACATGGCATTGCATTGTCGGACGAAACTTTGGATCGTAAGTTTAAACTATTTTACCTCTAATGACAAAAGTGAGAAACTCATTCTAAATTTAAGTTTTCTTTTTTATACTAAAATGTTTCATGTTAATAATAATAAAGGACTGAACAATGCCTAAAATAACTTTGTTTTTTAGTTATGTGACACACGAAACGAAGCACTTCATCTACTTCTACCTTGGCCAAGTTGCAATCCTCCTTTTCAAGAGCGGTTAAACGGATGGAAGTGCCCAGTTTATACGTGTATATAATTATCTCCAGAGCGTGTACGTTTTGTTGAACCATTTCATTATTTTAATAAAAGTTGATATTTTAAAAATGAAACGGCAAAACGTGAAAGAATTCACTATGAAGTTGACTAATTAAATTTGTTAGCATTGATAATGGTAAAAGATGCTTACCTTATTTCCAAATTCGGAGTGTGGATTGTCGAAACATTGTACAATGATTTCACGTCCCGAAGCCGCGATTGGATGTGAAATGTCTCGTCGTATTGACTTTTGTCGTGGATAGCCGTTACTGAAAATCAGTTATTAATACTATTACATCGTTCTTTTCTGGCTAAACATATCCAATCGATTGCGTAACTAAATTCACACATTCTCCGCAAAAAATGTTTCCTAGGATTGAGGAGGCGAAATTGCGTATATTGAATTTTCTTCTAGCCGCATCTCTGAAGAGAAGCCGGATGATATGAAGAGCTCGATGAAGTCTTAGGTTCCGTGTTTGTGAAATAAGCGTTCCGGGAAAGGCTTTAGTTTTAAAATGAAACTTAAACTTAGATTTAGAAATTTGGGATGGCTCAAACGGAAATCAAACGGGGGAGATTTTCACACAGCAAGTGACAAGACGCTGAAAAGGCCGGGGGTTTTACCTTTGCATTTTGTTGCTAGTTGATTGCCGTCTTAATGGCGGTCTAAAAAAGAGATAGTGCTAGAAAAGAAGCAAACGGAACAGTGACATTGATGGGTTTCGTATTTACCTTGTTTTAGGAGCTAATGAGTCGTTCCTTTTGATTGCAGATTCCGATCTCCTTACGCTTGTTCCGCCGACTTTGCCAGGCTTCGTAATACCATTTGCTGGCGTTATCGTGCCTGAATAGGTTAGACTTTGAAGCACTAAACTAAATATAAAGTCAGCTACTCGTTCAGTGCTCAGGTACCGCAGTAAGCCTTCTAGCAAGTTCTAATTTGCCAACCTTTCCGTTCTCGATCCAACATTGGCATCGATTGTGATTTGCTGAAATCCCTGTCCACATTTGTGACATCAGTTGAGGGTCTTTCTTTCAACTTTCTACTCGAGGCACTGCCTCCATCTGACGCTCTCCGATGTCGAGAGCTAGCTAGGCCCATTTTGTGGACCTTAAATGTTCATAGTTACTTATTTTTTATAGTTATTTATTGTTAGAAAACAAAAAAAAGAAAATGTTGCTTGATAATTAAAAAACTTGTTCCTTTTGGAACATTTTGTGATAATAGCTCTTGAATTGAGTTCAGAAAAGAAAAAATTTTTGCGTAGAAGGGTTTTCAATGATCGGATGAAGATGAAGGAATAAAATTGGGCTCTTCCGGTCGCATTCTCGAAGCTCCGAGAGGTGTTTGAGAAGGGGAAAAATTGGAGCAACAAGAGAGAAATGGAAATATTCTCAAGAAGATATTGATAAAGTTGGAGGATTGGGGTGATGTTGATGGATCAATGATCGAATTTCTGTAAAGATAAATGCAAAATCAGTCTTTGAATTACTGATGCATTTCAGTGTGCGGAAATTTCGGTTTTAAGGACAAACAACAAAGGCTTTGCATTTTTGGACATTCAGAGTTGCATTCAATTTGGATATTCAATTCAAATATGCATTTGAATCCGCCAAAATATCGAACAATATGGTCTGAAAATTCAATAAGTGAGAAAGCCATGACTTGATCAAGAGATTTTTGGAATTCTCTCAAAACACTCCCCAAAAATTTGTTAATATTCGCTGATAATCTTCAAGAATGGACAATATTTTAGTGAAATTAGAAAAAAAAACAATTCTCGTGGAGAAAATCGGCTTTTGAGAAAAAAGGGAACTCACAAAAGCTTGCCTAATCCGGGCTGGCCAACCCCTGTGAAAAGGCGCTGCAATCTTGGTGCTGAATCGGGGGAAATTTTTGAAAAGAGCTCGAGATGTAAAGATTTTTTCGGATAGAAAACTAGCATGTTTGGAAATGGGAAAAAGAAATGACTTGCAAAATGGACATGAGCGTTGATAAAGGGATTACAAAATAGAAAAAAAAATTGGTGGAAAACAAGGGCAAATTTCAGGAAACAAGCCTGCAATTTGAATGAACAAGTCAAATTTCTGGATGTTTAGATAACAATTTGAAAGCAATAAAGTTCTTGAGAAGACTTGGGAATGGGTAGAAGAATAAAATTAAAATAAAACTCGTTAACTCACCGCGTTGCGTTGCGTAAACTATCGTAGACTTGCTTATCGATCAAGTTAGTGTCAAATAGCAATCATCGATTAGCTGAGATTTCTAGTATTTGAGCTGTTTGCGTATTTTTTTACCGTAATCCATTTCCTATTCTGTAACAACTTTGAGTCTAGTTTAGGAGGAATGATTGTGGGACATTTGATCCACGCCCCATCCTTTTGCCATTAGCAATCTAACTTTGAGCTCAAATATCTTGGCTTTGGACTGCTCAATTTAAATATCCTTGGTATCACTAGATGCGCCAAGTCTTTCTCTGTCGATTGGTATAAAAACTATTTAAATTGGACCGCCCAACACCAAGACCAGCTTTCGAAAGTTATCGAACATTTGTGGGACCTTTTATTCGCGTCTCGTCCTTTTGCCATTAGCAATCTAACTTTGAGCTCAAATATCTTGCTGTTGGGGTGTCCAATTTAAATAGTTTTTATACCAATCGACAGAGAAAGACTTGGCGCATCCAATGATCTCAAGTATGTTTAAATTGGACAACCCAACACCAAGATATTTGAGTTGATAGTTAGAGTGGGATGCGCTAACTTCGAGCTCAAATTTCTTGGTGATGGATTGTTCAATTTCGATAGTTTTTGTACCAATCGATAGAGAAAGAGTTGGCGAGTCTAATGATATCAAGAATGTTTAAATTGGACAACCCAACACCGAGATATTTAAGCTCAAAGTTGCTCAAAGCAAAATGACGGAGCGTGGATCAAATGGAGGAGGAACGTTCTATAGAAAGTAGTAACAAAACTTAATTGGTAGACTTTCTGTTAGACAGTTCAACTTTCGTTGAATTCTGCTATACATTTGACTCAGCTCGGTCACATTTCACTCGCAAAGCTGCAATCTTGGCAAATCAGGAGCACTTCAAAAAAGGCCTGGGACATAAAGATCCCTAGATAGAAGTGTAATCAGACAAAGCAAAGAAAAACGACTGAATTTCAGATTTTTAGATGAAAAACGTTAAAAAACGGCAAAACGACCGAACTGGACTGGACGGGGGGACAAATCTGACGCACACACGAGGAGGGGAGCCCCGGGGGAAATAGAGGGGACCTCCCTTCCTCCCTTCACGACACAAATCCCTTATCTCGTCTCGTTGTGCCTTATCCTTTAGCGGCACTTCTTCGACTTGTTCTCTTCTCCTTTTTCAGATGTCTTTGAGTGAATTTTGTGAGTTACTCTTTTTTTTGGGAGAGTCATAAGATAATAAAAGAGACTGAAGCTTTAGACCTTTATACTTGCTTAGAGGAGGGTAGAGTTGGTAACTAACTCCCTTACCTAACGCCTTTAGACTTATCAACCCTTTCTAAAATGATTTAGCATGAAACCCAAGAAGAAAATCGTGAAGATGAATAACAAGATCAATAGCAAGAAGATCGCGATGTGGCAGAATATTTAGATTTGCGTTTATAGTTAAAAGGAATTGATTAAGTTGAGTTTATACGGCATTTGTGAATGGATTTAAAACAATGGAGTGGAAGGAGTCGAAAAGAAAACGAAATAAAACCGTATTAGGATTTTAAACAACAAACTATGGGCAAATAATATAAAAAGGAGGGAATGACGAGAGAGAGTACTTTAAAAAGTCGCTAGAAAAACATAATAGATTTTACGAAGGGCGGAAGAAAACTTAGCGGGACTCATAAAAACCGGACAAAGTTTCCGACCTACATCATGGAGTGAAGGAAAATGAAAAGAATGGGAGAAGAGGAATTTTGCTTTCCCCCGGATTGGGTCGAGTCGGGTAACTAAACCGACGCTCAAAAACAATCCGTCCTCAATTACCCGATCAAATAATTAAAGCAAAGCAAGGCCTTTCATTCGAGCGACTGATGAGTGATTGGTTGAAGGTTTCCATTTAAAAATTAACGAATTAACTAGACAAAACCGGTCAATAGATTTTTACTTTAAAAAAAGCGAGAGAGAGTACTTTAAAAAAGGAGCTAAACCATAACGAGCTAAACAATACTACAAAAACATCATAGATTTTACAAAGGGAGAAGAAAAGACTCGGCATAAAAGCCGAACAAAGTTTCCGATTCCATGGAATAAAGGAAAATAAAACGAATGGCAAAAGGGGATTTTTGTGCGCGGTACGGTAGCGCATCCATGCTTTAGAAAGCGCGCCGCGCCGCTTTTGCGTCAGTCCCTTAAAACCGCACAGCAATGTCAATAGGAATCTAATTTTAAAACAAATTGCACCTACAAATCTTGATTTCTCAGAATTTAAGACTTTAAGACACAAAAATTTAAGAGTTGATTTAATTTGGTGATTCCAAACGAAATCCAAATCCAAAGCGAGGTAATTTGGAGATTTCTGAGCGATTTCTGATAGACTTGCTGACTGGTAAACTGGTTTTAGGAAATTTTCCAAGCTCAGGAAAATTTGATCCAATCATTTAGGCCATTCAGATAAAATCTAGACCAAAAACAGACTAAAGAAGCCAAAAAGAAAAGCAAAGAGAAAAGCAAAAACAGTTTGAATCATAATGAAATTAAGGGAAATTTTGTTCATTCTTAATTCACAAAACTCCAGAGATCACAATGATTGAAGGTTATGATTTGAGAAGGATTTGTGAAACATTTTAGAAGGATTTGAGTTTTGTTATTTATTAAGTTCAGGGTAAAAGCTTTTAAATAGATAATCGATGATTAAATTCGGCTGACTAGTCAAAGAAGGCATTCGTTTTCCTTAAAATTTATTGATCTTTGTTGATCTTTGTTGATCTTTGTTGATTTATTGATCTTTGTCTCTTTGTCTTTGTCTAATTTGTCTACAAGACAGGGCAAAGGAAGGAAGCTGCGGAAAAGAAAGCTGCGGAAAAGGAAGCTGCGGAAAAGGAAGCTGCAGAAAAGGAAGCTGCAGAAAAGAAAGCTGCGGAAAAGGAAGCTGCAGAAAAGGAAGCTCTCTAGACTTCTCAATAACAGATCAGAAAAAAAGAAAAGTAATTCCACAATTCCACAATTTCACAATTCATTCATGCAAAAAAGTGAACTATATATAGAGATTTTGGGTTTAGAAAAGGAGATGGAAGTGACATGTCTTCTTAATTGAACTCTCGTTCTTTTCCACTCCTTTTCCCCATTTAAGACTTCCTCATTTCTTCATTTCTTCACACTCAATCATAATGAATTTCATTTTCTTCTTTTCCTTCTTTCTTTTTCTTCCTTTTTTTCAGTTTCTTCCTCAAATTTCTTTCATTTCTTTCATTTCTGTCATTTCTTTCTTTCATTTCTGTCATTTCTCTCCTTTCTTTCTCTCATTTCTCTCATTTCTTTCTTTCATTTCTTTCATTTCTTTCTTTTATTTCATTTAAAAGCTTCAAATTCTTGTAATTGTAACAATTCTTGGAATCTTTCTTGGAATCAAGATTGATTGCCACTTTTGATGACCTTTTGGTGTTGTGAATTTGTTGAAAAATTGAAATTGATGGATTAAAATTGGTTTTTCACAAAGGTGACAGATAAAATTTGTTTCCAATTCTTTCAAAATTCCCAATTTTCAGACAAGATTCATGAGTAGAGTCTAGAGAAAATGATGGTTGTCGAGGAGAATGAAAGAATTTCAAAAATGAGCCAATTTTTTTAAAGGAAAATTTGCAAAAAGGAACTTACTTAAAGATACTTCTTAAAGATACTTACTTAAAGGTACTTACTTAAAGGTACTTACCTAAAGGTACTTCTTAAAGGTACTTACTTAAAGGTACTTATTTAGAGATACTTACTTAAAGGTACTTACCTAAAGGTACTTCTTAAAGGTACTTACTTAAAGGTACTTACTTAAAGGTACTTATTTAAAGATACTTACTTAAAGGTACTTACTTAAAGGTACTTACTTAAAGGTACTTACTTAAAGATACTTACTTAAAGGTACTTAC